GCTCATGAATTCGTGGAATGTTCAGATCTATGTCGAGCTTCAGAAGCGAAATGTGTATGTGGACCTGCACGGCCTCTTGTCCACGCCGCTCAACCACATCGCCGGCTACGAGACCCTCATCATGGTACGCCCACTTGCTCTTCCTGTTTCACGCCGTTGATGCTGACGTGTTCCGCGTGCGTGCGTGCCATGTGTGCGTGTGCGTGTGCGTGCGTGTGCGTGTGCGTGTGCGTGTGCTAAGTCGCTGGTGGATAGCACGCCCGTGGGACACAAGGACCATCGTTCGCTGTCGCACTGCTTCTCCATCATTTCGGGCACGTCGCGGTACATTCGGGACTGCATCGCCTCGGCCGACAACATCCGCAACATGCAGGCCATCCAAGACAAGCTCCTCAAGGAAAAGGTCTTTTCTTTCTTTCTTTTCTCTCTTTCTACAGAGCCTAGGAGCCCACTCTCACCGCACACGCGCCACCGCACACGCACACGCACGCGCGCCACCGCACACGGACAACACAGGACAAGCCGCAGCTGCTGATTGCGAGCGACCACCAGCGCCGGGTGGTGAAGGACGGCCCGTGCATCATCATCAGCCAGCCCGCCGAGAAGGAGAAAAAGAAGAAGGACAAGGAGCGCAAGGTACAGCACAGTGCTGTTCGACCACCTTCACACCACCGGCTCACCTCCTCCGTGCGTGTCGTGCGTGTCGTGCGTGTCGTGCGCTAGGGTTACTTGTTTGCGTTCAACGACATTCTGTTGGTGACGCGGTCGGCCAAGGGCGGCTACAAGGTGATCGACCGGCTCGACATGGACCAGACCAAGCTCGAGGAGCTGGCCGACTCGTCGGACAGCTTCCCCATCGCCCTCACCCAGAACAACCGCAGATACGTCTTCGCCATTCCCACTCTCATCGAAAAGGTACGCACGACACGACCGCACACGCACCACCGCACACGCACCACCGCACACGACCGCACACGCACATGCAAATTGACGGGCGATTGGTGGTAGGTGGTGTGGGTGACGGAGCTGAAGCGCACGATCGGTTACTACGAGAAGACCAAGATTTTCGGCGCCCCGCTGTCCCGGTTGTGCGACACGAAGTCGGGCGTGCCGGCCATCGTCGAGCGCCTTGCGGCCCACCTCGAAGCCGCCAAAGGTTCGCTTTCGCTTCGTTTTTTCTTACATTCGTTCTTCGCTCTTTTTTTTAGGTCCGACCCGGCCACCTCTTGTTTTTTAACTCCTATTCGGTCGCATCAGCCTACGAGATAGTGGGCATCTTCAGGATTTCGGGGAACATTTCCAACATCAACTTCCTGCGCGACACCATCGACCGAGCCGGCATCGGCAAGGAGGACGACGTCAACCTCGCCATGAGCAACGTGCACGACGTCTCCAGCGTCTTCAAACTCTTCTTCAGGTACCGCGCACGCACACGAACATGCACACGCACACGCACGCGACGCGCACGCGCACACGACGCACGACACGCACACGACGCACGACACTGACGTGAGCTTATATAGGGAGATGCCGGAGCCGCTGCTGACGTACGGGCTGTACGACCCGGTGCTGCGTCTGATGGCGAGCCACACGCCCGAGGCGACGGAGAAGACGCTGGCCGAGATGGCCAAGCTGCTCAAGGGCCTCCCCAAGTGCAACCTGCAGCTGCTCTTCTGGCTGCTGCGGTACCTCAACAAGTACCTCCAGTACTCCGAGCAGAGCAAGATGACCAGCTCCAACATCTCCATCGTCTTCTCGCCCAATCTCTGTCGGTACGTCATCATCATCATCATCGCCTTCACCTTCACAATCATCATCGTCAGTTGCGACGATCACGTTCTCCAGGCCGGCGTTGCGTTCTAACGAAGCTTGATGTAACCAAACAATGTGATTGTAGGCCGAAGCAGGAGACGATCGAGTACTCGCTGCAGCTGGAGAAGGTCAACAACGCGTTCGAGCTGATGATCAACCAACACCAGCAGCTCGCCGCTATCGTCAACCCCTGAACAACGCCTCTTGCTTCTTGTACGATACCATCACCTACACACTCACTCAGTCATTCCTTCATTGTTTGTTCTGTTTCTCCCTCAATAAACTGCCTTTCTTGATTTCAAATTGGTGAATCGTTCTAGTTTGTCAATCAGTCCATAGTGTACTCAGTGATGTCGTTGCCCATCTTGTAGTTCTGCAGCTTGGTCCAGTCGATCTGGGAGTCCACCATAAATGCACACAACACGCGTTAAGCAAAGAACGAAGAAGAACGAAGAAGGAAAAAAAAAAGAGAGCGAAGAGGAGCGTTTGAGGTGGTTGGTGTGTAGGCGTACCTTGGAGCGGGTGATGGGGAGGATCCTCCTGAGCGCCTTAAAGGTGGTGTCGCCCATCGTCTCGTAGCTTTCGTTCAGCTGCGCGCGGGGGTCAGACCACAGTGATCTATCTATCACAGCTCCGAGCTCAGTGGTTGGCGTGCGTACGTTTTTCTGGAAGTCGGCCTCGGCCTTCTCGATGGCCTTGACGATGGGAGCGGTGACCTCCTCCCACGTCTGCGGCTCGGTGGGCACCGCGACCGTCGCCTGAAGCGGACACTCGCCCCTCATTTGCACGTTGCCTGTGTGCGGTAGTGCGTGTGCGTGTGCGGTCGTGACCAAACGTCAACGCGCGAGCGACATCGTTGTGTGTGTGTGTGTGTGTGTGTCGTGTGTGTGTCGTGTGTGTGTCGTGTGTGTGTCGTGTGTGTGGTCAAGGGGCGTACCGCCTTCGTAGTAGTGGACGTGCAGCCTGACGCTGCCGGTGAGCTGCAGCGTTCCATCGGCCGTCGGGTACACCAGCTCCCAGCGAGAGCGCCAGCGGCCTGCACTCGTCGCACGTCAGGCGCCGTGCGTGTGTCGTGCGTGTGTCGTGTCGTGCGTGTCGTGCGCTGCGTGTCGTGTGGCGTGTGTCGTGCGGTGAAGGAAACGAGGAGTACCGTTCCAGTAGTTGTGGGGCTGGAAGGCGCCGGAGGAGATGCAGAGCACGTACGTGGCCTGGTCCCCCGACCCCGCCTTGGGCGGGCAGTAGACCGCGCCCGTGCCGGTCGGGTAGTGCTGCGCCACGTACTCCTCCAGGCTATACTCCAGCGCCGCACGCATCGGCTCCGCGTTCTGATTGATTTCCTCTGCGTGTGTGTGTGTGTGTGTGTGTGTGTGTGTTGTGTGTGTGATGTGTGTTGTGTGTGTGTTGTGTGTCAGCACAGGATTGTGTGTGTGTGTGTGTGTGTGTGTGTGTGTGTGTGTGTGTGTGTGTGTGTGTTACCGGGTCGAATGGGTCTCTGGCCCACGACCTGCTGCCGGAAGTGGTCGAAGATGAGGACCTGGTTGCCGCGGTGGTCGACATACTCGTTCTCCGCCAGCTCTCCCTCCTTCGCGATCAGCACCTGGTACTGTTCCCCCTCCGCCCCGTCTGCGCCCGTTTGGGTTAGTGCCGTGTGCCATGCGCGTGTGCGGTGAGTGCGTGTGCGGTGAGTGCGTGTGCGTGAGTGCGGTGCGAGACACAAACGGTCAAGAAAGAACGAAAGCGACAATAAATAAATATTAATTCATTCGCGGGGGGAGCGAAAGAGAGAACGAGGAAGAGCGAAAGGGGGGGGGCAGTATAGGGTAGGGGGGGAAGGTACCGGGTACGGGAAGGGCGACCTGGATCATCTGGTCGGTGTTGTATTCGCGGAAGGTGGGGAGGGCGGTCGAGTTGAGAATCGTTTCATCGGCCAGCAGGCCGCGAATGTCGTGCACCACGTCCAAGAACTCGCCCGGCGGCGCGTTCAACATAAAGTCGGTCACAATCTCCAGCACATCCTGCTGCGTCGCCATCTCTCACTTTATTTCTTTAGTTACGACCAATTTAATATATATTTGATTTTATTTTAAACATCAATTTATTTTCAACATCAATTTATTTAAACATAAAATAAATTAGTTGTTCGGGGCACGCCACTCAGGCCAGCTGGTCCAGTAGTGCCGCGGGCCGCGTGCGGCCTCGGCGTGGAGGGAGCACAGTAGGGCGTTGTCGGGTACGTTCCAGTGCGGCCACGACGTGGGCTGGCCCCGCAACCACTTGAAGGCGGCCACCACGTCTTGTTGCAGCGAACTCCCCGCTAGCGCCCGACACACGCTTGTCAGTCACAAAGGCTCGTGAGCGTGTGCGTGAGCGTGTGCGTGTGCGTGTGCGTGTGCGTGTTGTCTCACCTTCGCTCTCTTCTGATGATGCCAGCGAAGGCACGGTGTGCTGCTGCGCCACAAAGACGACCGGTCCGGCGTAGAAGCTGCACATGCGGTCTCTGACCGGAACGTGTTCTTCGATCTGCGCAGTACTGACGGGAGTGAGTGCTTGGTGTTGCGTGTTGTGCGTGGTCGATCTACCAACGTGGTTGGGCGACAAAGCACCTTCAAGCGGTACAGGGGCCATTCGAGGTCGCCATCGGCGGGGTTGAGGAGGTGCAGGTTGAACGAGAGCGTCTCTCGATACTGGCCCTTGCCCTCGCCCAGCATCCCGTGCAGCTCGCGAAAGACCTGTAAAAAAAAAGCCAAAAAACCCATCAAGCTCGCTGGAGTCCCTAGGGGGGCATGTAGGCGTGAATGTGTGTGTGTACGTGCTCCTGGTAGTCTTCGTCGGCCTCGAAGCTGGCGCAGTCGATCACGTAGATGACGCCCGCGGGCTCCCCGGCTGTGTAGCGCACTTTCCTGTTCAGGCCACGGAACATCTTTTTGCCGTTGTCACTGTACCAGTTGCTGCACCGCCACCAGTCAGTCGACAGACCGCCGCACAGCACCTGTCGAGTCACACGAGATCGGGCTATGTTGTGGAAAAACGTACCGTGGCCGGCGCAAGACGCAGAAGTTGGTGCTTTTTTCTCCGATCCTCTTCCGCACGACACGACACTCACCTAACATCGCACACGCACACAAGGCCGGCAGCTAAGAAGAAGAAGAAGAAGAAGAAAACACGACAGGACACGCTGGGATCACACGATACCGCCGGGGCTCGTGATGTCAAAGATCACCGGGGGCTCGCTGGTGGCAGACTCCTTCTCGGGCCGGCTGAGCACGATGTCGGTGATGCGGGAGAGCCAGGCAAAGTCGGCCACCCCGGCCACCAGGTAAGCCGACGTGCACTCCAGCTGCCACACGGTCACCATCGCATACATCCTGCAGTGCAAGTCAGCATGCCGCGTTGTGGTATCGAGTGTCGTGTGCGTGCGTGCGTGCGTGTGTCGTGTGTGTCGTGTGTGTGTGTGTGTGTGTAGTGTGATGCCTTTGAAAAGCCAGCATCCATCCGCCGAAGGTGTGCCCGCTTCGCGCGCTCGTGCGCGTATGATTCTGCACGAAGCCGTTCAGGTCGTAGTTGCCCTTTCGGGGGTCGCCGCCAGCAGCAGCCGCCTCGGTCGCGTCTTCGCCTGCGGGCGACAGCGACGCCCCGTACGCCGCAAACACCTGCGTTCGGTCCATCGCCGCCCATTCGTTCTCTCGCTCCTCCGGCACGCTCTGCTCAAACACAACAAAGAAATAAAAACATCAATAAAGATTTGGAATAAATATGTAAATTTATTTATAAATTTAAATCTTAATAAATTGTTTGGGGGAAGTACGTGGTAGGGGTGGGGTCCGGCGGCTTCGCCCCAGAAGTCGCTGCCGAAGCGTCGAAGGAAGAGCGTGCACCACACCACGTCGCCCTGCGCGTGCTCCCACATCGCCCCGCACGTTGCGCCCACCTAATACCCCGGCCCAGTTAGACACACCACCGGGGGGGGGGTTGGGAGGTCATTGCCAGCGTGGGCGCACCTGTACGAGATCGGCCGGCTCCAGATGCACCAGGATTGCGGCCATGATGTTGGCATCCAACTGAGTCAGCGGGCCAGTCTTAGCACTCGTCCCCTCCATCACGCCACTCGCTTCTTGTTCGGTCTGGGGCAGATGCAGGTTAGCTCCGTCGCTAAATTCTAAGCAACTTCGCGAAGAGTAACCAACGCTTTGCCACCAGCACCAACTGGCGCATGCTTGAGGCCTCCAACGGTGCAGTTGTAAGTGCTGCTCTTCTTCTTGTTCTGTCTCTTCGCTGGCTATGTGGCCGCTTGGCGTAGCATGCGCGAAGTATTTGCTAATTGACATGAATGGACATGACGCCTCTGTGCAAACGTGTTCCCTCTCAGCAGAACACACAACCAACAAGATGATGGGAAGCAGTGAGTTGATAGTGGTGGTGTTCGATTGGGTCTCGTTTGTGGCCATGGTACCTCAGTACGTCTATCGTTATAGCGCAGAGCTCAGGTTCGTTTTGTCTTGGCGACTCTCGCGTTGTGGTGTTGTCTTCTGTCTTCTTTATCTGCTGACTATGCCACCTGCAGTGCCGAATTGGTGCAGCTGCGCAGACACGAGGAGGATCGCCAGAGGCTCTTGGAGCTGATGGCTCAATTGTGCCGAAACAGTGGGGGACTGTACTAAGCTCAACACCTTTTGTTTTCATTGCCTTGGGAGAGGAAGGAGAAACATGGAATGAAGAGCAGGACAGTTCAGTCGCCACGAAGGCCGAGGACGAGGTGGATGACGGTGCCGGTCGTGATGAAGCTGTAGTCGGCCACGGTCCGCCGCTCGCCCTCGTCATCCCAGTAGACCGGAGGCTCGAGCGACACGATCTTCTTGTCTTCCGCTGCAAAGAGCGAAAAGCGAATGGGGGAGGGCAAAGAAAAAGAGAGAAAGAGATGAGATCAGAGCGACCTTGAGATCAGAGCGACAATGAGGGATGAAGTGGATAGCACGCACAGGTGGGGGGTTGTTGCCACTTGATGTCCATCGTGTCCTTCTTGTGGGTATAGAGGCGGAGGAAGTCGACCAAGACCGGCACGTCACTGCGGCCGCGCTGCTCCTGCATGGAGAGCTCATGTTCGCCCGCACTCTCTGCTACCACTCACGGCCGTGAGCGCCCACCACTTGAGCCCATCAGCCACTGTGTCAATGAATGATTGATACCTTCGGTGGCCGAAGCGGGGCCGGGTGTGTTGCACATCTCGCATCGGGCGCTGGCGATCGGGTTGAGGAAGGTGCACGCCGAGCAGCTGTACTCTCTCGCGGCGGCTGTGAATGGTCGGACATAAAATACAATGAACAGGCATCAGTTTTACCTCCGAGCAACGAGCACGTCGAAGGGGCGAGGGGCACCTTGTTGGGCGGTGAGGAGCGACTTGGGCAGGTACTTCTCCCTGTACTCGGCCTCGATCGCGCTCATCACCGATCGCACAGTAGTCTCGCTCGTGATCGCGACTGCGCGCCACTCGGCCGGGATGGTACGCACCGCGTCGTACTCCACGTGGGGGTCGAACATGCCGGGCGAAATGAGTCGTCGCGTCTGCCACGAAGTGCTCTTGCCCTTCTTCACTACCTAATAGCATGCACCACATCAGCACGTGTGCCACCGCACACACAGCACACAGCACACACAGCACACACAACACGCACGAACGCACGCACTTCAATCTGTGGGAGGTAGAGCTGGACGGTGGCGGAGCCGTCGGCGTCGTCGTGCTGGAGCTTGAGGAGGCCGGCCAGGGGCCGATCGACGTCGAGCGGCTCGCCGTAGGAGCGGAAGTTGGACATGGCCAGAGCGCGGCCGCTGCAGGTGAGCTTCTGATGGTCCACGGGAACGCCTGCTCACCGCCACCAATTGGTTGGCGCGTTATCAAAAAAGAACGAAGTGCTTCGCATTTTTGGACAAAGAGCGAAGGCCAGGGGGTGGGTGTTCGTTACCTTCTTTGGCTTCAATCTTTCGGCGCACGGCGTCGATGGTGTCGGTGGGGTTGATGGTGAGGGGGAAGGATTTGCCGGTCAGGGTCTTGATGGTCACCTCCATGTTGCTTCTCTTGTGTTGTTGCAGATAACGAGTTGAGTTTGGTTGTGAAGAAAAAGAGGGGAGGCACCACACCTTACACTTTTATTTCTCGGTGCCGCTTCCAAGAAAGTGAGCCAACGGGATTGGTTCCCGATTAAAACAATTTCTTCCTTTTTCCCTCAGGAAAAAGCAAAAGAAATACAAAACACCAGATTAGATAATGAGACGTGGGAGAGTAGTGGTGGCTGTACTACGGCCAGGGTCCGGAGGTGGTGGCAGCTTCAGGGCAGGTTCGTTGGCCCATTTTTCTGCCACAAGTATTGCATCATTAGGTCAAGATTATAATTTTCGATTTACTACTTCATCAGCGCCGGCGTTGCTCGTGACGTCTTGCCGAACCTTGCCCGCTCTTGTGCGCCGCCCCTTGCCTTCCTTCTTCCCGGCACGACCACGCATCCGCTCCCTCCACACTTCCATTCCACCTTCTTCGCCTTCATCCTCTTTTTCTGCCTCCTCTGCATCTTCATCTTCATCTTCATCTTTAACGACTGCCAGGCTCCGACCGCGCTCCTGCCTTCACCTCTGTGCGTGCGCCCGCGCATCGCCCGCCGCTTCGCTCCTCCACTTCTCATCATCATCCTCTTCATCATCGAGCGGTGCTGAAGAAGAAGCCGCAGCCAGCGCCGATGGCGGCCTGGGCGAGCTGGTCTTCGTGGGCCGAGCCGACGAGTTCGCAGACTTTGCGAGTCTGCCATCACCTTCGCCGCCATCAGGCGATGAAGAAGAAGGAGAAGGAGAACGGGGAGGATGAAGTGGTGGGTGGAGGAGGAGAGGAAGAGGAAGCGGAGCGGAGCAGGGAGGAGATGATCGAGGAGAGGAAGGACCAGTTCTTCAAGTTTGTGGACCTGCCCAGCGGGAAGAGGGTGATGGTGTTCAAGTACAAGGACCGCTTCTACGCCTCCAACGCGGTACCTTTGTCTCCGCACATACATTTGATCGAGTTGCTCTGCTCAACCCTGTCTCCGTGTGTCGTGTGTGTCGTGTCGTGTCGTGTCGTGCGTGTGCGGTGGCGCGTGCGTGTCGTGTGCTTCGGAAGTTGTGCCCACATCGGGGGGCGGAGTTGTATTTGGGCGACGTGGAGGAGATTCGGGATGAGGACATGGGCATCGTGTGGGGACACTCCATCACCTGCCCGCTCCACAACTGGGTCTTCAACCTGGAGGACGGCACATGCGACAAGTACCCACCTCCACTTCTCATTTTACATTGACACGACACGACACGACACGACACGACACGACACGACACGACACGACACACACGACACATAGGCTAAGGCGTGTCTGGTCCAGGAAGCGGTACGTGCTGGACGTGTACGAAGTGAAGAACGAGGCGGGGCAGATCTACATCACGAGCCGACCCAAGAACCAGTCGGCCCTGGCCGCAGCCGCCGCGCAGCCCGTCGCACCGAGAACCCCTCCTCCTCGGCCGGACGCCGCCGCCTCAACCGCCCGACCACCGCCCGCCACTGCCCAGCCGCCACCCAACAGCCAGGACCAGGACGACGCTCGTCAAGGGAAGAAAGAGGAGAAGAACCCGCCGGAACCACCATCGGGGCCACAGAGCAACAAGGTTCAGTTTGAGTTCTGGCCGGGCACACGATGATGATGACGATGATTGTTGTTTTAGTGTCCATCACCAACAATGCAAGTCGTGTTGTGTTGTGTTTGTCGTACGTTGTGCTGGTCTTGTGCCTGACCGAAAGTGATGATGTGACGTCGACATGAGATCACCAATGGGCGATCTTGTAGTCCTTGAAGAACAGCCCAAAGGCCGGCTCGGACACCTCGCCGCGGATGGCGGTCAAGATGGGATCCACCACGCCTGCACATTGTTGGGTTGTAGTACACTGAATTAGGGTGATGTGTGTGTGTGTGTGACGTCATCAACGTCATCCACTCAACACGTACGTGCAGCTCCGTCCTTGCAGTCCAGCGGCGGACAGAACCCCGATTCAAGCCGCACGGGCCACGGATTCTCTGCTATGTCCAACGACTAATAATTAATCAATGTAAATTAAATAATAATAATAATAATGATAATAGTAATAGGATTGCTTTAGTAATAAAGCACGCACCGTCGGTCACCCACCCGGTGTCGACAGAGGTCATGTAGATCCCGTCCGCCGCGTAGTCGGGACCCGAGGTCCGGGTCATCATGTTCAGCGCAGCCTGGTGCCAAAAGTTGGACACACAGCGACATGTTAACGTTAATGTTAATGTAAATGTAAATGTAAATGGTCAATAATGTTGACGTTGATGTTGACATTAATGTTAGTGTCAAGGTTGGGTTGGGACCACAACGTGCCTTGGCCATGTTGGTGTGCGGGTGGCGATCAGTCTTGTAGCGGTAGAACTGGCCTTCCATGGCCGACACGTTGACGATGAATTTGGCCTCGGGGGTGGCGGCGCCCGAACCGTCGCTCGCGAGCGGCGGCGATCGCTTCATCAGCCCGCGCAGCCGACCGTTGATAAGGAACGGCGCAATCGCATTGACCGCCTGCGCCCACACATGACCTTACGTGTCAGCGAAACAGTGATGACGGTGACGGTGACGATGACGATATGTACCTGGACCTCGAGGAATTCGCGGGTGGAGACCTCGTCCAGGTGGAGGCTCCAGCTGTTCTTCTCGCGCAGGTCGACCTGCTCGCCCTCGCTCGTGAGCACCCCGAGCGGAAAGACTCGCTGTCGCCCTTGCATCGCGCCACTCTCGTCGTAGTCGTCGTCTTTGCTATCGTCGCCGCCTTCCGTTGGCGCCACAACTTCGTCTCGACGCCAGGTGAGGGCGCCGGCGGTGGCCGCGTATCGGCCGTCGTTCCATTCGCTGGTCAGAAGCTCTCGCTGCTGGGGCGGAAGAAGGGAGTTGGGCTTGGCCTCGGTTGGTCGCAGGTACTCGTAGAATTGCGCGGGCCTGGCCACCCACCCACACATGCTCCGTTAATACATCGCTACAACCGCAATTGCACGGTTGCGTGCGGTGTGTTGTGATGTGTTGTAGTGTGTCGGTGTTACCGTGCAATTGTCTGTGCGGCGTTGTTGATGATGATATCGAGTCGGGGCAGATGCGAAGAGAGGTACTCCACCAAGGCCTTGGCGGCACCAACGAACTCACGCGCACACGCGGGACATTGAGTGAGGCTAGGCTCAATCGCCGCTGGCGGCCAGTTCACGGAGAAAAACGGACAAAACTTGAGGCCAGCCGTACCTCAACGGCTCTGATGTCGCGGAAGTCGGCCATCAGTATGTGCAAGCGGTCCTTCCACGCCCCAAAATCCTTCTCCTGCGAAGAGACCCATTGCTGAGTGAGAACGGGCTGCGTGTGCGTGTGCGCGTGCGTGTGCGGTATGTGCGTGCGTGCGTGCAGAAGGAATGAAGCAGTGCCTCGGAGTAGCGTCGTGCGGCGTCCTTGGGAAAGCGGCTGGTCACATACACGGTCGCACCGCATCGCAGCAATATCAGGGCGGTCTCCAGCCTGGCTTCCCGAAAAGACCAACGTTGGCTGACGTCAGTTGCTGATGGGCTTTGGAGGGGCGATGAGAGGGCTAGTGCGGACCCTATCTTAATCCTTCCACCAGTCACGAGGGCCAGGCGCCCAGTGAGATCAGCGGTGGCGTTTCGTTTGGTCCAGTTGAGTTGACTGCACGCCGGGCAAAACTGTACGCACGGCCGTGTACGTGTCGCGTCAGCAGCAAGGCTCGCCAATCGCCGCACACGCCGCACACGCACACCGCACACCGCACACACCGCACAGCACACAGCACACAGCACAGCAATAGCTGACCTTATCGCCGTAGAAGATGTGTACACGGTGGTAGGACGCATGGCATATCATGCATTCCGCGGGCATTATTCGTTCTGGGCGCACATTGGGGTGTTGGCTAATGGCCATTGGAAGCAGTCACTGGGGGTGGCCACCTCCGCGGACGTACCGGTCGCGAAGAATTGGCCCGTGGGGTCGAGGCCAGAAGAGACGTTGTCCGCTCGCACCTCGTCACACTGTCCCGACAGCGTATCGCCTGCCAGTTGAAGAGTCAGCCGCCCACCTGCCACGCAGTGTGTGTGTGCGCGTGTGCGGTGGTGCGTGTGCGGTGGTGAGTGTGCGGTACCAACTGCGGCAAAACCGTTCTCCTCACTGATCCACTCGATCGCCGGTCGGTTGTAGCTAAACTCCTAACAAACAACCAACAATAGCCAACAACAAACCAACGTTCACCGGACGGAGAAGAGGGTCAACACTGTGAAGACGGAGAGGAGGGGAAGGTCGCGCACAAAGGCCGAGGGCAGTTCGCGCTTTAGTCGTTCAATGTCTTCGATGTGCCTCTTGCGCAATTCGGTCGAGCGCATCAGCGCCAGGTCCAGCCGCCGATTGACCCCGCCCGCGGCCTTGGGCACCAGCGGGAGCTCCCGCGACTGCTCCCTGCACCAACGGAGCCCACGTCAGCCGCCACGGCCCTGGCCAGTCAGCGTCTCCATTCGGGGGGGGGGGAAGTGCGCGTACAGTTCGACCATGCGCAGGAATATCCTGTTCGGGCGCCAAGCGGGGGAATGATTGGGTCACTAGGTGAGTGAGCGTGTCGTGTGTGTCGTGTGTGTCGTGTATGTCGTGTGTGTGGTGTTCGCCCTGCGTGTCGTGTCGAGAGAGGGTGCGCGGCGTACCTCCTGGCAAAGGCCAGCTGTACTATGTGATCGGTGAAGAGGCGAACGTTCGAGGCAATGAGCCGCAGGACCTAAACGGTGAGCGAGCCACAAAAAAAGATGAGCGTGAGCCGTGTTTGCAAGTGGGTCGATGTGGTTCAAAAGTTGGTGGTGAGACCAACACCGACCTTCACGCACGAACTCCACTCGTCGTTGGTGAAGTTGTTGTCGGCTGGCCGCTGCTGTTGTCGCTGCTGCTCCTGTTCTCGCTCTTCGGGCTGTGTCCCCGGCGCGTACGGTCGCGGTTGCGGGTCGTGATGGGGCAGTTGTTCGGATTGGGGCGCGGCCTGGTCCTCCTTGCACATCAGCTCCTGCAGCATCGCCTTCTCCTCTCCCTCGAGCCGGTCACATAGCTGCACAGCATGGCCGTCAGTGCTGACGTCCAAGCCGCACACGCACGCACGCACCACCGCACACGCACACGCACACGACCGCACGCGCACACAGAGTACCGTTGCCGCTTGAGGGCGACATGAAGGAAGGAGACGGGCGAGGAGGGACTGGGCGGCGGTCAGCCGGCGCTCGGCCGCTTCCCGATTGGCCGTCTCCAGCCGTAGCCGCTCCCTCGCACACGCCAGCTGCAGCCCCGCCCCTCCCTTCCCTACTCGGCAGAATTTTTAATCATAATATAAAAGTATTAGTTAATTGTTGTTTTTATTAACACCGAGACCATTATTAAAGAAAAGAAAAAAGAACTCTTCGTCAATTGGGTTGAGGCCGAACGTAACGCACCCAACGCCAGGGCCATCAGATCTCCAACACACGCAAACAGGTTTAAAGATTGTAAAATAAAGAAACAAAGAGCTGAGAAAAAGAAATGAGAAAAGAAATGAGAAAGTGAGTACACGACAACTGGCGGGAGCGCACTCCAGGTTGGCACGGTAGTCACATGGTAGTCTTGTTCGGCTTCTGTCCACATGACCCCAAGCTTCTGGATGCTCTCAAAAATAGGGGCTCCACACGGCTCACTGCTGATCCAACGCCAGGCCATGTGGTCAAGGTTTCATGGCTCGCCTGTGAGGCTCAAGAAGGTGATCACATATGATTAGAACAGTAAAGAACAGCTTTTCTTCTTTGTTTCCTGTGCATCTTCAACCCCCTATCATCGCCGCACAGCACGACTCAATGTTTGAGTTCGCGGTGCTGGTGGAGAAGTGTGTAAGAGAAATGATTGCACTACTAGGACTTTAATGCGGGTACATGTCGCGGATGTATCTTGACCTGACCACACCACCCTGGTCTGACGTGGCGGCGTCTTCTTCACTGCTGCTTGGCGTAGACATCGCGCGCGACGTAGGCCTTGAGGCGCTCCCTCTCCGACACGGTGGTGAAGAGCTTCTTCACTGCCGGGAAGGAGCCCAGCAGCGACTCCTCGCTGGTGCCCTCGATCCTGCTGACGAGCAGGCGCACGACCGCCCACAGGCTCAGGTCAGCGTAGCTCAGCTTGGAGCCCACGAGGTAGCCGCTGTTGCCATTCTTCTCGAGCAGCTTCTCGAAGTTGGCCAGCTGGCCTGGCAGGGTCTCCTTGACCAGCTTCTCCTTGGCCTCGGCCAGCTGCTCGGCCGGCGTGAAGAAGAGGGTCTTGACGAGGCTGGTGAGCACGTCGCCGACACCTTCGCTGGCCTGGTCGATGAGGGCCTCCTCGTGGGCGTTGGTGCCATTGTAGCCGTGCTTGCGCGCCAGGTAGCGAGCGATGGCCGTGGTCTGGACGAGGGTCAGGCCAGGCTCTTCATAGAGGGGCAACTGGCCAAAGGCGAGCTTGCCCTCGGCAATCAGCTGGGCCTTGCTCTCGGGCCAGTTGGTGACGGCAACAAAGTCGTAGTCAACGCCAGCGTCCTCGAGCAGAGCGCGAGGCAGCTCGGCGCGACCCAACAGGTGGAAGTAGGTGAGGGTGGGCTTGGTCACGGTGCTGGTGGACATGTTGCCAGTAGGGCTCTTGGTTGGCTGTGTTCCCAGTTCGACTTTGTGCCGGGAAATCATCCTGCACCAACTCCGACAACTGCAGAAACTTCGTGGTATTGAATAAGCCCCGACCAATGGGGGACATTGTAATGTCGCGAGGCTCTGTCTAGTGTAACGACGGGCAATTAGTAGCAGGCCAAAATCCAAGAACACAAAAAGTTATCATGCCAGCTTATTGCCAGGCATGCATTGCCCACCTCCTCTGTGCTAAAGTTGGACAATGAGCCAGGTGATTGACCTCCCCCAGCATTGTCTGTGTGTGTCTTGTCCAGAATTGGTGTGAGTGAAAGTGCAGGTGTGGAGCAAGATGGTGGTGCAACCAGGACAGCATATGGTGAGAGAACTTGGGCTGAGGAAGGAGGTATGAAAAAGGGATGTACAGTTAACTGGGTGAAGCTGAAGAAGAGGTGGATGCTGATAGTGATGGTGATGGCAATGCCAATGCTGATGACTGACAGTGATAGCAATGCCAAGGGAAATGCTGATGAATATGGCAAGGCAGAAGGCCATGTAAACAGTATGCCACCTTCTTATAGCCAAGGAAGATGCAGCCATGGCCATGGTTTGCTGGCACCTCTCAGTTCAGGTTTGGCCCCTTTTTTTTGAGAACCATAGGTGGCACACATGGGATAAAGGCTGCATTCCTGTTTCTGTGGTAGCAACAAAAGTTTGCCAACGGGAATTTGGAACAAAGAAGTGAGAAAAAGAAATGAGAAAATGAGTAATTACGGAGTTGGTCTTCGTACCACTCGGTGGAGCAGTCGCAAGGGGAAGATGGAACACCACGATGGCAGGAGGGCCTCCTCTGCACAAGGGACCTCACCACCATCATCGCCTGCACCACTTAAAACAACGGCGACAACGACTCCGGCTGGCCAGCGCCGTGAGAAGAAGCGCCCGCCCAAATCATCATCCTCCCAATTCTTCTCGCTGCTCAGCCACGGCGCGACGCACGTGCAGAAGCTCGTTGGCGTCGAAGGCAGCGGCGCTGGTGGTGTGCACCACCCGAGCCTGGAGGAATCGCATCTCTTGGGTTCTACTCATCTCGACGACGAGCACGACCAGGTCCTTGACGCGGCGATCCACAACTCGACAACAGGTACCCGACGCACCGCCCACCTGCTGCCCAGTTCTTATTTCATCTCTTTGTAGCGCCTTGCCTCGAGATCCCAAATCTCTAATCATTACCATCTTCCATCGTTGAAATCTGGCAGATGAAGATGAAGAAAGAGAAATGGATGGAAGGACAAGGAGGAGGCAGAGAGGCAGTGTGACGAGCACCAACTCGCGATATCGCGAGGAGGCGAGCATCAGGCGATCGTCCCCCGCGCAGCCTTCGGTCTCGGCGCCCAACCTGACTGCGTCGGCCGAGATGGCCCTTCGGGCCCAGAAGCTGCACCACCGCAAGGCGGCGAGCGAAATGCAGGCCATGAAGGGCGCCGGGGCGCCACCGGTCACGGCCCCGGTGCCGAGGCGCAAGCGGGTGAGGCTGGTGCCGTCGAAGGAGGAGACCATCAACCGCAACTACTTTTTCCTGCGCGAGTACCGAAGCGACAGCGACAGTGACAGTGGCGCGAGCGACACGAGCGACGGCGAGGAGAACGAAGACGAAGCCAAGAAAATGGAGAAGAGCAGCAAAGGAGAGAACGAAAACGAAAAAGAAGAGAAAGAACGAAAGCGACGCAAAGACGAGTCTGGGCAAGATGAGGAGAACGAAACCGAAGAGGAGAAGGAATCGGCGCACAAGGAGGCCGAGGAGCCGGGCACCGTCGTGGGCGGCAGCGAGAGCATCAACTGGGACGGCGCGAAGGAGAGGGTGGTGAAGCGGAAACAACAGAAGGGGCACAAAAAGGGGATGAGCGGTGGCTGGGTGATGAAGAAGGTGCTGGTGCTCATGGGCAGCGCGGACAAGGTCAAGGGACTGGTCACGCGCAACAAGCGGCACAAGTCGCGGCGATCGCGGCGCCCACGGTCGCGCCACCACGTTGTGATGGAGAACACCGACGGGGAGGACGAGCTCTACGAGATGATGGATCTGCACCATGACGTCGGCGACGAGGACTACGACACTACTGATGTCGAGGCGTGCGAGGAGATCGATGAGGTCGAAGCCAAGAAGGCGCGCGAGGAGCAGGCCATCCTCTTTTTGATTGTGCGTTTCATCACCATCTTCGCATTTTTCGTGAGATTGGACCACACCGACTCACCCTCTCTTGTGTTTGTGCATGTCTGTCGTGATGTCGTGATGTCGTGTGTGTCGTATTGTGCATGCGCAGTCTTTGTGCCGAGCGCTGCACAAGTATGGAGCGCCAGCACATCGCCTCGAATACAACCTGCGCCGAGCAAGGTTCATCACCCACCATGATGATGATCATGATGGATGTCGTTTATAGGTTTTCGCTGGTGACTCACCCACTCTTCAACGACCCAACCCAGTGAGAGCCTGGGCATTGAGGCGTCATTCGCAGTGATGCCCAGCTTGATTCTGATCTCCATCGGACCGGAAGACAATCGGTATGACGCGTTCCCGATTGCCCGCGCGTGTAGCGTCAATTGCCACACTTGGTACCAACTCACACGACATACACACTTGTCTGCAGACGATCGGAAACGCACATCATTCGCTCGTCGCAGAGCCTCAACTGCGCTAAGCTGTTCTGGACGGTATGCCGCAGTGCACCCATGAAATCAATGTTATCACTGTTTACCAATTATCTGAATTCTTCTCTTTTTTATTTATTATTTATTTTTTGCTTCGCCTTCCAGGATGACCTGATCGCCAGGATGGCCAACAACGAGATCGAGCTTCCGGACGCCGTAGTGGAGCTCGCCAGCATCAACCGCCGGAAACCGCTCTACCCGCTCTGGCTGATGGTAGCAGCATTTCTTCTTCACCTGCCTACTACTAGTGTTCACCTTACTGACTGGCCAATCTCGGCGATCGATTCAATGATAGCTGCTGTCGTTCGGCGTGTGCTCGGGCGCCTGCGCCCCACTCTTCTACGGCGGTGGCTGGCCCGGTACGCACGAGAGAGAACATTTTATGTCGCCGTCGATGATGGTGGTTGCACTTCACTCACCTTTCTTCTGCGCACTATAGAACTGGCGTTCTCTTTCGGGCTGGGCCTCATGACCGGAGTGCTGAATTGGCTCTCGGGCAAGATCGAGCCCTTGGGCCTGCTCATTTCGGTACGTTCACTCGTTTATCATAGCCCTGGCGTGTGCGTGCCTATGTACGTCGATGCTGCTGCTGGCCCCTTGCTCTGACTGGTTACGCTTGGTGTTCTGGTCCTTGGAGGCGGTGGCGGCAATCCTCTGCGCCTTTTTCACGCGCCTCTTCATCGAGTACGTCCAGCCCATATGCTACCTGCCCACAGTCCTGTCCGGCATCATTTGGTTACTTCCGGGTACGTCCATCCGCCCTGCGCAGTGCGTACGCCACCACCGATGAAGATTGCCGTGGTCCAACGTTTCATGCACCTGCCAGGGCTCTCGATCACCATATCAATCACGGAGCTCGCCACGGGCAACATGATATCGGGCACCACCCGCATCTTCTCCGCCATTATCACCACGCTCCAGCTGGGCTTTGGAATGACGCTTGGTAAAATATTCTTACTACCCGTGTGCGAAGCTGACAGTTACGCGCGCACGCACTGCTAACGATGGGACACACCCACACGCCGGCTGATCGTCTGAATTATTGCAGGAATGAAGTTGGTCATGTGGACGAGCGAAGACAACTTCATCGTAATGAGAGATTCGGTCTCCTGCTCCGGGATCGGGTACGGCGGGCTCCCCCTCGATTCCTCTCGGACCATACAGCAGCGCCTCATTTGATTTCTTTTTTATTATTTTTATTATTATTTTCTATTTTTTTCTCCACTGGGCAGTGGTCCATGGACGATACCGCTCTTCTTGTGTGTGTCCATCACCTTCAACCTCCTGCTTGAAGCCCATCCGCGCCAGGTACAGCTGACCACATGACGTGTCTCCCCCCTCTCAACTGGAAGCTTGGTGCTGAACCGTGGGTCTACTCGGGCAGTGGGGGATCATGATGGTGACGGCGCTGCTCAGTTTGACCATCTCGGAGGTCACGTCGTACTACGGTTACTTCAGCGATGAGCTCGCGTCCGCGCTCGCTGCATTTGCGGTGGGTGCCGTGGGCAACATTCACGCACGCATATCGGGCCACCCGGCCATCGTATCCATCATAGCCGGTATGTTTTGGCACCTCGCCGCACACACCACACCGCACACACGGACCGCACACACCGCACACGCAGCTGATATGTTTCTTATCAACGCCAATGCAGGTGTCCTGTTGCTGGTGCCGGGCAGTATCGGTGTGAAAGGCGTCAAGTCGTTGATGGAGGACGATGTCGTGTCGGGGATCCAGTTCGGCTTCTCTATGCTCACCATCGCCCTCTCCATATGCGTCGGCCTCCTCACTGCCAACCTCTTCAACCTGGGCAAGAAGCATCTCGGCTTCTAGAGCACCATTTCCACCACAACTATTTATTTTTATTTATTAAAACATTTATAATTTTTATGATTTTTTATTATTTAGGAAACCTAACACTACGTTTCAGTTTGGCACACAAAGCGGCGAAAGGAGTGCACAACACAAGAACTCGAAGAAGAGATGGATTGGCGACAACTGCTCTTCGTGGGGGCGGTGGTGCTGGTACTTTTGTTGTTGGTTGATGCCGCTACGGTGAGCGAGCAAGAGAAACAAGATGATTCACTGCCAACGCCACCGCGACCAGTGACCCCAAGCCAATTCACATCTGTTGTGGTCATCGGCCTCAACTCTAACAGTCACTTCTTCAACGGCATGCCCCCCCCCAGCAGTATTCTTTTTTATTTCGATATATTTTGTAAAACGAAGTATTAATGCAAACTGTGTCCACAGATGAGGCGCTGCTGAGTGCTGCAGAGGCGGCCCCGGTGCTGCCAGTGGGCAGCGGGCGACACTGGGCGATGATGCACAGCCTCCAACGCAAGGCTGGACTACCTTTTGTCTCTCCTCCGGTACGTGTCGTGTCGCGTGCGATGTGCGTGTGCGATGTGTGCGTTGCGATGTGTGCGTGTGCGTGTGTTTCGTGGCTGCAACTAACTAGACATCGTTTGCTCTGCAGGGCGCGGGGCAGTTGCACACGTTCTTGGGGGCATCAGACGACAACTGGGACTACCTGGCCGGGCAGTACTACTACAACGCCGGGTCCCAGAAGATCCGAATAGACTCGACCGTACCTGGTGGCTTCCTCTCCTCCTACTCCTACTACGTCTATGTACGTTCGTTTTCGTCAAGACCTGCAACACACACGACGTGCACGCACGCATGCACTGGCCTAGTTGCTGATACCTGGTCTGTTTCCAGGGAAGTGAATGGATCTACACGTTCTCGAATACGGCGAACACCACTTGCCAGAAGTACGGCCTGGACAAGGTGCGCGCCGCCAGCATTCGTGCATATCATGTGAAGCAATGTTGCTTTGAGACGACTGGCGGCTCACACCACACACACGCACACACACACGCTCTCTATTCTTGGCACCATGGTCAGGGTTCGTTTCCCGACGTCAACTGGTTGCAGAATGCACAGTATGTGGGAGTCAAGCAGGTCCTCGGTGTGGACACTTATCACTGGCACGGCAAAGGTAATACGCTTTGTCGGTGGGTCATATGTTTATTTATTTATTATTTATTATTTATTATTTATTATTTATTATTTATTCACCTATTCCCACATGCTGTGAAATGTATGACCGGTACAGGCAATCACTTGGGACCGGATGTGGGCCTCAACGTTTACGACTACTTCGTGTCCACCAATGACAGCTCGCCCGTGCTCATCTCTAATGCTGGTTTCGTCCAGGTACCTTGCTCTTGGTCTTCCTCTCAACCCTCCCTGTAGATAGCAAGCTCATCATGCACTTCTTGTCGTGTGCGTGCGTGTGCCCCAGTACTTCATGACCTTCAACACGGTGAATATGAGCCAACAGTTGTGGAACTATCCCAGCATGTGCGGTCTCTAAGCTCGAGCCGCACATAGCAATGTTATTATGTTCACTTGTACACTTGAATAATTGTTACACTTTGCCGTTCAAGAAGGGCTCGACGTGATCAAGGTCTCGACTGCTAGTCGATCACGGTCCGCACCATTGGTAGTGACGACGTCAGTCTTGCTGGACCACTTGCACACCTAAACGCGAGAAAAACAAGGAGAAAATCGGGAAGAGCTTGTTCCCTTTTCGCAAGACGTAAGTGCTGTGATCTCTCTCTCCATCCTACAACGCGACGTTGCTGCCAATCCACACGGTACGAGTCCCTTCACACTTGATCATCTTCATATCAGCACTTTTTGTTGGCAAATACGTGTATGCTCGAATTCGTGTGAATTCGCTGCAAGCTGGTGAAATCTTTACCAATTGGATTCAATTGATTGACTTGAGCATGGACGCAGAAGTACGGCAACCGAGGGAGAACAACAACATGACAACATTTAGACCTGAGATTTACACGCTCGAGGGCTACCCCCACCGTAGCGTTCAATCGCCGGACAGAATCCTGGAGCACCCGTACGAGGGCGTGGCCACGCTCTACGATAATTACCTGCGCGCTCTCTCCCTCTATCCTCACAACGCCTGCCTGGGGACACGTCGATACAACGCCGACGGCACTCGTGGCGAGTACGAGTTCTCCACCTTCAAGCAGGTGGCCGAGAAGGCCGAGAACCTCGCTTCGGGCCTTGTGAACCTTGGCATAAGAGCCGTGCGCCCTTCTCTCCTTTCCCTCTATCTATCCATCTTATAATGCTGCAACGCAATTTGCGTAGCGCTACACGATAATCTTTTTTTCATTTCACATTCGACTGATTATTGATTGTGTTTTTCTATTATTGATTTTGGTCTTCCAGGGCGACCGCATTGGCACGTACTCTATCAACAGGGAAGAGGTGGTGCTGGCTGAGCTTGCTGCCAACCTGCAGTCCTTCACCACCGTGCCCCTCTACGACACGCTCGGTAAACCTCCTTCCCGTATTCTGTTGACTTGCTCGCGTAGGCACTATGCGAGCACGCTCTGGTTGCATTGCGCTTATGCTTACACATCACTGCGTTGGTGGGCCTCACTAGGCGAGGATGCTGTCGAGTATGTGGTCGGCCACGCAGAGATCGCGGTGATCATCTGCAGCCGCGACAAGACCGACAAGGTGCGCCAATCGTTACGGTAAAGCTCCACAACAACTGTTTTGCTAAATCGCAGTGCACTACGTTGCGGTGCAGGTTCTGGCCGTGGCCTCTAAGCTGCCCAAGCTGCGGTACGTGCTCCAAATGGAGGACTTTGCCCAGCGCGCCAAGGTGGGAGGTGCGTACTAGCTTCACACCCTGCGTTGCTGTTCTCGCCTTGATCTTAGTTTACCTCTCTCATGGCTGCTTACACCTCCTGCCCTTCAATCAACAGACAAATACAAGGCTAGCGAGGACTGGAGCAAGTGCCTGGCTGGCACGCAGGTCAAGCTCATTGAGCTCCTGGATGTCCTCAAGAGTGTACGTCGCCCCTTTGGTTGGTTCGTTCAGCAGACAAGGCCAGTCTGGCTAAACCAGGTCCTCATCCGCCTTTACAGGGCCAAACTGGCAGGCAGCAGCACGTGCCGCCCAAGCCCGATGACCTGGCGTCGATTCTCTACACCTCCGGCACCACCGGCGAGCCCAAGGTTTGCCTCTACTACGTCGCCTTATAATAATCATCATCATCATCTATGCTCACTCCGGCTGACCTTTTGCCTTGATCGTGTAGGGTGTGATGATTCTGCACCGCAACATGGTGTCCTCGGTGGCTGGCGCCATTAAGAGCACGCCCATCTACCCCACCGACGTCCATCTCTCCTACTTGCCCCTGGCCCACATCTTCGAGCGCATCGTCATGATTTCCGGTATGTCGGCCGGCGCCAGCCTCGGCTTCTACCAAGGGGTACGGACTGTAGCCACCAGCGTCAAGTGGTGTTCCTTCTCTGAAGCTCAACTCTCTGCCGACTCAACAGGACGTCAAGAAGCTGGTCGACGACATCGCAGAGCTGAGGCCCACCACCTTCGTCGGCGTGCCTCGCGTGTTCCACCGCATCTACGACAAGATCATGCAGGGCATCAACGAGTCCCCCTGGCCTCGAAGGAAGCTCTTCTACTACGCCTTCCAGGCCAAGACCGATGCCCTCAGGAAAGGTGCGTGCTATTCACCACTTAATTATTTATTGTTATTTTTTAACGTGCTTATGGGCTCATGTGCGTACGTAGGCGAGGAGACTCCTTACTGGGACACGATCGTGTTCAGCAAGATCAAGGCCCGCTTCGGCGGACGCATTCGTGTGGTCATCTCCGGCTCTGCGCCGCTCTCGCCCACCGTACAGCACTTCCTTAGAGTGTACGTCGCCATCTTTAGCGGCGCCCAAGCTATATGACTGCCGTTGGCACCCAGGTGCTGACGCTTTCCGGTTTCTGTGAACAGCTGCTTGGGCTGCCCCGTGCTGCAGGGCTACGGTCTCTCCGAGACCTGCGCTGTCGCCACCGTGGCCACGCCCGAGCACACCGGCTATGGCCATGTTGGCGTTCCGAGCCAGTGCTGCGGTACCACTCCTATTTGCCGAATTCTCATATCACAAGGGCAGGCTGGCTAAATTATCGCTCACTATCACACAAACACACTACTACTACTAGAAATCAAGCTGTTTTCTGTTCCCGAGATGGAATACAACGTCACGGACGTCGATGAAGAGGGCCGGCCCACGCCTCGCGGTGAAGTCTGCATCCGCGGACCCAACGTGTTCGTCGGCTACTACAAGATGGACGAGGCCACGTGCGTTTGCGCCCCAAAACAAGTTCTCTAACTAGCTGCATCTTTTTTCATCATCTTTCTCATCATCTCGTGGCGGATGTATGCAGCAAGGCCACGTTCACCGAGGATGGCTATCTCCAGACCGGCGACATCGGTCGGTGGAATCCCGACGGCACGCTGTCCATCATCGACCGCAAGAAGAACATCTTCAAGCTCTCTCAGGGCGAATACATCGCGTACGTTCCCGCCCGGGAGCTGGAAGGGCAACCGGTTTGAGCTCTCTAATTCTCTCTAATTCCTTGCTTTGTGCTACGTGCATGCATGCATGCAGTGCGGAGAAGCTGGAGGGCGTGTTCACCCGCAGCGCCTACATCTCGCAGATGTTCGTGTATGGCGACTCCTACAAGTCCTACCTCGTCGGCGTGGTCGTCCTCGACTTGGAAGCGCTCGGTACACCACTTACTTCTGCAACCAAAGAATTATCATCGCGACGTGCCAAGCAGCTCACTCCTTCTTCTGCTGCTTCTTTTCTCTTTTGTTTTGCTCTTTGTTTTTTGTTGGCGCAGTGCCCTGGGCGAAGCAGAACCTGAAGACGAATGACTACAGCGGCGCTGCTCTCTGCGCAAACCCCGAGGTGCAGCAGTTCATCATGCAGGAGATCACCACTCAGGCCAGGAACGCCAAGGCAAGTGCCACTTTCGCCCGACCCCCTCCATCTACTCATCTCGTGGGTCCTAACCTTGTTGTTGTGGTCCCGTTGTGTGTGTGTGTGTGTGTGTGTTGACAGCTGCGCGGCTTCGAGCTGGTGAAGGCCATCCACCTGGAGCACGCGGAGTTCAGCATCGATAACGGGCTTGTCACCCCGACCTTCAAGCTCAAGCGTGCCGCCCTCAAGAAGCACGTACGTGCTTTACCAGCCCCTCTTTTTATTGGTGTTTCTTGTGACTCACCGCGCACACGACACACACGACACACGACGTGCAGTATGAGGATGAGCTCAACAAGCTGTATGAGGACAGGGACGCCCTCAAGCAGGAAAAGCACCAGAGCGCGGCACCTCCTGCTTCGTTCGAGAAGGCCAAACTGTAGAAAAACAACCAATCAACCAACCAACACTGTTTCTGTTCTCCATCTTCTCAGCTCGAGCAGTGTACATCCAAAGAAAGAAGGTACTCAGAGGAAGAAGGCTTAGTCTGCTTCAGTCGCCGCGGAGGGAGAGGATGAGGTGGACGGTGGACTCCTTCTGGATGTTGTAGTCGCTGAGGCGCATGCGTTCGCCCTCGTTGTCCCAGTGAGCCGGCTGCTCCAGCGAAACGATCACCTTGGCCTCGCCTGCTCAGGATCCACCCACCCACAGTCAATGAGCCCATGTCGACAAACAACAAACAACGAACAACACACGACGACGTACAGGGTGGTTGCTGCCACTTAGTGTCGATGCCATCATTGTGGTGCGTGTAGAGGCTCGTGAAGTCGACCAGCATAGGAACCTCATGGGGGCCTCGGCGCTTCTGCATCACCAGCGCGTATACACCTCCTCCCTCTACACGCAACCACAACAGACTCAGTCAATCAATCATTCTTCTTTGTTTTTTTGACCACAAGAATTAGTAGGGACGGAACGGTACCAACGGCCGGCGCGGGGTTGGTGGTGACGCACATGGCGCACCATGCGCTGGTGCTCGGGTTGGTGAACGTGCACGCCGGGCAGTTGTATTCCTGGGCCGCCGCTGACCATCACATCGTGTGAAAAAAGTGGTAACATGAGCCCATTGCTGCGTGCGGTTTGATTGCAGAGAGAAGGGGTGGGATCAGTGGGAGAGGTACCTTGCTGGGCGGTGAGGAGCGGCTTGGGGATGTACTTCTCCCGGTACTCGGCCTCGATTGCGCTCATCACCGATCGCACCGTAGTAGCGCCGTCCTCGAGCGACACCTGATCGATCGTCAGTTGAAGTCTGCCTCATTGGCCTCAGCATTTTATGATAATTTATTATTATTATTATTTATTATTATTTATTATTTATTATTTTAATTTTGGTTGGAGTGAGAAGGTACCGTGCGCCACTCGGCGGGGATGGTGCGCACCAGGTCGTACTCCTCCTCGCGGGAATCGGGGTCGGGCGAGATAAAGCGGCGCGACTCCCACGACCTGCACGGCCCCTTCTTCACCACCTGCACATGTGGCACGTAACGCGCATCGATTATTGTTTTCCTTTGTAGAGACTCTTCACGACTTCTTTCTACATCTTTTGTTTTACCTCGATCTCGGGCAGGTAGAGCTGCACCGAGGTGCCTACATCGACCGTGCTCAAGGCGGCCACCAGCTCGAGGCTGTCCTTGAGCGGCGCGTTGACGGGGAGAGGCTCGCCGTAGAGGCGGAAGGTGGAGGAGGCCAGCCGCCGGCCAGCAAAGCTCAGCATTTGCTGGTCGGGCGGGATGCCTGGAGGTACACCCTCGCCTTCAGCAAAGGGCTGTAGGACCCAAAGCCAGGTTTGGGGAGGGAAAGAGAGGGGTGAGAGGGGGGGGGGTGGCGTACCCTCTTTATCCTGCACCTTGAGGCGCACCGCGTCAATGCTGTCATCACTCTCGACTTCGAGGGTGATGGTCTTGCCGGTGAGTGTCTTGAGGAAGATGTGCATGTGTGGCTTGCTCTCGTTGCAGTTTTGTTCGTGTTGGCTCACGTCAAGTCTAGCAGTGTGTTGCGTCCATCTTTTCTGCGAACCTGAGTTGGAGAATTGAAAAACAAGCTGGTCGTTGTTGGAAGTAGTTTTTGAATAAGAAAAGAGTTTCTTGATGGAGCGGTGCGGCGCAGGCAGAGTGGTTGCGTTGGGGTCGTGCGAAAATAGGAGGGCGGTGGAAGAAGTTGAGGGAGTGCAGCAGGTGGTGTGCACACACCAGCTGGGTCTGCTGGTTGTCCGCCCTAGCAGCGAAGACGCATCATCTTCGGTGCACATTTTCTTTCATTCGAGCGATTTCGTAGATGTTGAAGGTGGCAACGCCAACGCTGAGGCAGGAGCGACCACACAAGTCAAAGATCATGATCTTGCTGAGGAGAGAAGCAACAAGCGACGGCGAGTCGTACCTGCCTCCGAAGGTGCAGCTACTACTTGCCCTTTGCCGCGCCTACGGTTCAACCCACCCGCCCAGGTAGTACAGGTGGCGGCCACCTGGGCTCACGCTCTTCTGCTTGATGGTGCGTCCCGCCTACGCCGCCCTACTACATGAACGCATTCATTGCTTTCACATCTTAGAGGCCGGAGCGCTGTACAGCGTTGGGTGGAACGCCTACGGCCAGTGCGGCACGGGAGATTGGTACGTGGCAGCAACGAGCCCTCACGGTTGAGTGTGATGATGCATGACCAACCCTTAGATGTGGTCGCCTCCTTTAGTGAGCCGGTCCGAAGCCCGCGCAGGTTGGATGCGCTGAGCACCGCCTTCCCCATACGTTCGGTGGCGGCGGGAGAGAAGCATTCCCTGGCCGTGGGCAGTTACACATTCCCTCATTCATCAGTTTGCCCGCGCCTAATCCTTGACTGCGCTACAGGCCAGGGCGAGGTGTGGGGTTGGGGCTTGAATCGTTACGGACAACTAGGGCTGGAAGACGACGTACCCAGGGTACATACGTGCCACGGCGTATGCCATAAACTCCTCCCGTGTTTCTCATGCGGCTGATGCGCGGTGTTTATGTGTGCCAGCTAGAGGCGTGGGAAAGCAGCGAACTGTCGAAAGAGAGCGACGTCCACTTCAAAGCAGAAGACTTCGTCCATTCCACTCCTCAACGCTTACAGTCTTTGACGAGGTATTCTAGACTTTCCCTTTTGCCCCGCCGCTCACTCAACCTGGCTCGGTCCAACCGGCTGTGGTCATAACAACGGCGACTCGTTCATGAATGACAGGGATGGCGTGCAAGCGAAGAGCGTGTTCAGCGGGTGGAACTACTCGATCGTCTTGACGGAGATGGGCCAGCTCTTTTCGTTTGGCTGGGGCATGTACGGACAGGTAGGTTCATCTTCCATCTCACCAATGCGGTCTTGCGTTCGGTCAGCGCACGGTTTGGTGCATTTCAAGTCTCACGACCGAGTGGCTGGACAGTTGGGTCAGGGCGACTTGACCAACGAGTTTCTTCCTCGACCAATCGACTTTGCCAGCGAGACAGGCGATGTTGATGCTGGCGACTACGACGACGATGACGAAGATATTGTCGACTGTGCATGCGGACTGTGGCACGCTGTAGCGATTACCGAGAGCGGTAAGGTCTATACGTGGGGCTATGGCAAAGATGGACAGGTAAATGCGAGTGCGTATCGGTGGTGCGTGCTTACACTAATGTATTGTTTCCTTGCTAGATGGGCCATGGAACCAATAAGGGAAGCACGGTGCCTCAGTTGGTGACTGCCCTCAAGGACGTGCGCGCTACCCAGGTGTGCTGCGGTACACGGCACACGGCCATCCTCACAGGTACTTTGCGATGAACGTCTTTTCATTGCTCGCCTCGATCGCCACGCTCACCACCCACAACCCTCAAGATCAGGGCGAGCTCTACGCCTGGGGATTCAATGCCTTCGGCCAGGTCAAGTCTCTTGAGCCAAGTGGTGAAGGCGAACCAGTCGAAGGTGTCAACGTGCTCTGGCCGACCAAGGTACCCATTACCCCCACCTTGTGCCTGTACCATCAAAGGGTGTGTTGTTCACATACGAGGGGTAAAGGTGCCAAGCCTGCCTTCAGGCCGGGCGGACAGAGTGTGGGCAGGTCCCTGGACCACGTTTGCCTTGTGCTGACGTCAGCAGCGGGCCGAGAGTCGACAAAAATTATATCCGGCAAAAGACGTAAAAATTGTTTCGCTTTCAAGCAAAGCGAGTAGCGCGAGGACTGATGATGTTGCCGAGGCAGTCTGAGGCGGCTGTTGAGGCCCTCCAGAGAACGCAGGAGAGGGAGGGGGAAGAATGGCAGCGCAACGTGACCTCTTTGCACGAGCTTACGCGCTTCGTCGCCGCAAACGTCGCGTGCTACCGGTACGCTCTACTTTACGTTACTCTCTTCTCATCCTTCTTCTTTATTTAGTCTGCTTATCATCTCCTCCAGTGCCGTGCTAGCCGAAGCCAGAACGCTCAAGCAGAACAACAGTTTCTTGCAAGTACGTCGTCCTACACCCTAACCCTCTACGTGCATTCTTATATCGCTTACAACTTTCGTTCGTATGTATAGAGGACCATCAGGTGTATGTACGACGCATTTACGTCCGAAGCTCGGGTGCTACGCAGGGACATGTCGGAGTGCGCTTCACAGGTAAACAAGATCAACCGCATCACCGAGATCGTTCATGAAAGAGGCCAAGAGTGGGCTCAAGCCGAGGTACGTCCATACCCCCCCCCCGATAATTCGTGGTCTCTCTCTCTTTGCACGGCTGACTAGTAGCGCACCCTGCACGCAGATAGACGACCGGAAGAAGGAGAAGGATAAACTCACCAAGGAGTTGAACGAGGTACGGCCACTACTGTCATACAGCGAGAAGAAACGCTTCTTAGTACTCTCGCGCCGAGCAGATGTGGTCTCTCAGCACGACCTACGGAAAAGCGCTTACCGACTACAAGAAGGAGTGCACAAGACACAAAGACAAGTTGGGCGAGCTTACACGTACGCCAACTTCCTTTCTACTTGATGAATACCAAACTTCGCGCTTACGACCCCTCTTGTGTTACAGACCAAATTCTGGACCTTCAGCGTGACCTCGATTTTGAGAGGACATCGAAGGTTGAGCTCCAGCGGGAGCTGGACCTGGTGCGGAGCGACATGACGGCGCTGTCCCTTCGTCCGGACGTCAGCGAACCTCAGCAAGAAGAGAGCGGCCCCACATTCGACGAAGATGAGGAAGAACTGAGCTCGAGCGGCGAAGCGCACGTCGGACGGGACAGCTTCGAGGATGAAGATCCAGTCGTCCCCGCGCCTGAACTCGATCCATCAGTCAGCAGTGATGGCTATCAACCTGGTACCTCTTCATACTTCTTAAGTGCAGCTTGACTCAAGAATCTAAAGCACGAGCACCAAAGGGGACACAACTTCGCACCAAGCCGGGGCAGAAGACTGCGCCGCACAGCATGGGCTCGTGGAGGGCAACACAGAGGCTCTAGCCGAGGCAACCTCCCGCGACGACTGCAATCAACAGCGCATAGCGGCAGCGCAAGAATACGCGCTGGTACCGATGCTCGCTTCGTTTCGCTCTGTGCCCGCTGATGAATGAGAGACTTGACACTGCGTCTCAGGAGCTCGAGCAGGCCCTCCAGAGAGAGCAGCTGCGAAGCCGCGAACTAGAGGACCAGCTGTCCAGTCTCCAGACCAAACATCAGCGCACCGTTGAGAAGCTCAAGGTACCCAAATGCGCTGCTCGTCAAGCCAGCCTTGAAAGCGCACGGCACTCATGTACGCGACATTCTCAGCACAAGCAAAGTCGCGATCAACATACACAGACCGATCTGGTGGCTCAGCACAAGCTCAAGGAGGAAATGATCGCCCTCTCAGTACGTCGTCTCTTACCTTTGCTGCTGCAACAAAGAAGTGACTAACACTCACGGATATCCCACTAGGACAAGAATCGCCAGTTGATGTCCCTTTGTCAAGGCTGGAAGGAGCAGGTGTACCGCTACCGCGACCACTTTGAAGCCCTCAAGCGTAGTAGTGCGCCAGCTTCCCACAGCCTTCAGCTCACAGTGTACGCGGTCTCCTCCTCAAAACGAAGCAAGCTTCATCACGATGATCCATCTCACACAGTGTTGGGCTGATCCGTGTCGACCACCAGCTTCACGCACAAGAGAAGAGGCCGCAACAACACCCCAGCCCTGCCACTAGAGAGCATCGCCGGCGCCCCACCGTTTGGATGAGAGATGCTTCACGTTATCGCTTTCAGGTTGTAAAGGAAGAACACCTTCCACTTCAGAGATGAATGGCAGTCTTCCCAGCGCAAAATACGTGCGGCACGAATACAAAGCAGCGAAGTTTTCTGGCGAACACGCGAACCTTATCGACCAACATGGCGCAGCTGGTGGAAGCCGAGAAGTCTTCGGTGCTGCGTCTGGGCATCATTGGCACTGGTCTGTGGGCCAAGTCGGACCACCTGCCGGCACTCAAGGTTCGCACTCGTGTGCTCCTTCAACTTTCCACCCCCCCCCCAAAAAAAGTGTTTGTTCTTCACTGTTGACCACCCCCGTCACCAGGAGCTGGGCCACCTGTTCGCTATTACGGCCGTGTGCAACCGCTCGCTGGACAAGGCCGAGGCCTACGTGCAAGCCGCCGGCCTGGAACGAGACGGGGTCTTCGTGTGCAGCGACTGGCGCGAGGTGCTGGCCCGCCCCGACGTTGACGCCGTGATTGTCGCCCTGCCCGTGTACCTCAACCTCGAGGTGGCGACCGCCGCCGCTGCGGCCGGCAAGCACGCGCTCCTGGAGAAGCCCACGGCGCACGACTTGGCCGACGCCAGTGCACTGGTGCGCCTGAGCCACGAGCGGCGAGACGAGATGGCCATAATGATCGGCGAGAACTATCCTTACAAGAACTCGCTCCGCACCATGGCTCGTCTCGTTATGGGTGCGTGCCGCTCGCCTCGCCCACACGAGGGTTGCAGACGAACTTACCGTGTGTTAACATGCTGTTGTGTCGTATTATGTGTCGTTCTGTGTCGTGTCGCAGAGGGCGCTGTGGGGTCAGTGGTAACGTTCAGTCTGCACTTCTGGCGCATGTTCGCGCCAGACAACAACCCTTACCTCTACACTTCGTGGCGCCAGAACCCGAAGCACATCGGTGGCATTCTCTCCGGTCCGTGTTTGCGCTCTTCTTTTCCCTTCCAATTGCTCCTCCTTCGTGCGTGTGCTTACACCTGGTGTCACACACGCACCACCGCACACGCACGGCACTTATAGATTCCGGGGTGCATTGGGTGTGCGTCGTGACCACCGTGCTCGGGCCGGTTCGATCCGTGGCCGCCTACACCCGCCAGATTCAGCCCAAGAACGGCCCGGGTACGTTGAGCGTACGTGCAAATGCATCGGGCTTGGCCCTGCGTTTTGCTTTGTTGTAAGGCGCGATTGTTGACGGCTGTTGCATCCACTGGCTGGGCTTATTTGCTTCTTCTTCTTCTTCCCACTATCATGACTCGACACGCAGCCGACTCGATTGTGATGGCGATGGAACTGGAGAGCGGTGCCGTGGGCTCGTGGGCGATGTCGCACGCGACCAGCCGCTCCGATGCCCTGTTCCAAGTCGTCGGCACCGACGGCATGCTCGTGCTCGACAACCTTTCCCGCCTTAGCTACCACAAGCCCAACGGTACCGCACACGCGCACCACACACACAACACGCGACTCATCCGATTGTGTGCGACGAGCAGGCGAAGTTGAGGTGACGGTGTTCGAAGGGGCAAAGCCCGGGAAGGCCAAGCAGGACCTGGTCGACGAGTTCACCGACTTCCACCGCTGCGTCGCACGCACTGTGGCGGCCCGCAAGCAGGACAGCGTGAGCGTCGAGAAGACGAAGGGCGCGGACGGCAACGACGAGCTGGGCGACTTCACAGTGCTGCCCGGGGCGCCGCTGGTGCGCGTCGAGGACACGTTCCACCACTTGGCCATCATCGAAGCGGCGACGGCCTCCACGGCCTCGAAGCAGCACGAGCCCGTCAAGACCTGGCAGCAGCTGGCCGAGAGCCTGAACTGAACTGAACTCAAGTCTCATCGCGCCGAAGTGGTAGACCACAACGCCGTTTGCTGATGAGTAGTAGGGCCGAGTGCCGTGATCGTCGGTGTTGTGATGGTTTTGATGGGTGATCGCCCGAATCGTCTTTACTTTCTTCCTCTTCCTCCGCAGGGACCAATCACAACCACTATTTAACCAGTCAGACACCATCACACTTGATTACGCAAGCCACACTCCAACAACAACGTGACTGCTCGTATCTTCTTCTGCGCCATCTTCATGCTACTCGTGGCAGTCGACGATGCCCAGATCCTGAGGCGTCGACGCCTTCAACGCCTACGGACCCGACCACGGCTTCCCCCTGCTCCAGTCCGAGGAGGCGGCCTTTTTCGAGTCCTACTGCGCGACGCCTGGCCGTTGCGCGGGTGAACGTCACGCCGGGGTCGGCTACACATGACCAACGCCACCCGGCGCCTGGCCTACCTGCTCGACGACCGCGGCCAGATGACCTCTACACCGAGCAGGACTACGTGCCCACATCGCGCCCGTGGCTCCTTCGTGACGGCCACGCCCTACCGCTTCGCGCTCAACAGCCTGCGCGTGACGGCCTCGCATCAGTGCTTCACTTCAACCTCATCCGCTGCCGCTGGCAAGAAGCGCTAGCTCAAGGTGACCGTGGTCACTAGGTTTGTCGACTGTCGTCGATTGAGGCGGCGGCCGGGTTCGTGGGCGCCGCGGCACGCCACGCCAAGGCGGAACGGCGGCGACTGGTACGTCAAGGCGCGCCGTTGTGGTGTGCTGGAATGTTGAAAAAAATGAAGAGGAAGGAATTTATGGCATTTTCGAAATACCGCACAAATACAGGCGAAGACCATTACGAAGAAAAGACGAAGGACACGAGAGCAGGGAACGCTGAACAGAGAGGGGCAGGTGCCAGAACAGGTACCCAGCTAGCTCGACCTTATTTATCTTTATCTGCCTTTATGCTCCCACACGCACGACTGCACCACCACTGATCGCACCATCGTCTTAGCCTTGAAGGCTAAGTATAATTTGTAGTAGCGCAACCACCACACGCTCTAGTTACCTGTACATTTGTCATTTATTCTTTCTTGTAAATCATCCCATCATTCAACCTCTTCCTCTCTGCCGAGATCTCGGCAGCAGCAAGTGGTTTTATTTCACTTTTAATCAAGATTACGTCCCCACGCGAATCCCCAGCTTCCTCTTCCTCGCTCCTCTACGACCGCTACCTCTCCTCCACAGCAACTCTTCACCATCTGCAGCGAGACACCACCGCCTATCCTCGCCTTCACCCGTTCGACCACCGATCAGCTGTAGAGGGATTAATCAGTTTGAATTGCGTTCTCCTAGTTCGCGAAATGAGCAACAACATCGACAAGGAGTTCGACGCTGCGGTGCAGCTTATCACCAAGGGACCTGCAGCCGGCATCAAGGCGCCCAAGATCGAGCCCAGGTAACCTTCTACACCTGCATCTCGGTCTCTTGGTGTTGTTGGCCTTACCATCTTCTTGTTGCTGCAGCAATGAGCAGAAGCTCGAGTTCTACGCTCTGTTCAAGCAGGCCACTGTGGGACCCAACAACACCAAGCCGCCTGGCCGACTCGACCTCATCAACCGCGCTAAGTGGACTGCGTGGAAGAACGTCGCCAAGTTGTCCAAGACCGAAGCCAAGAAGAAGGTAAGCAGCTAACACAGGCGCACTTGCATCGCCGCTATCGCACGTGACGCTCATTCATGCCATCTTCGTCTTCGTCTCGTAGTATGTGGAGCTCGTGGCCAAGCAGCAGCCCAACTGGAAGGAGCTCGCTGCCTACACGGACGACAAGCCGGCTCAGTCCAAGGCCAAGCTGTAAGTAAATCAACCAAACAAAGAAGATGAAGAAGTAGAAGTCGTCGCCTCTACTTGGCCCTTAGGCCACACCATTTTCGTAGGTGGTTGCTCTCTGCGAGTTGCCCAACATTGCTTCTTGTTCTGTTGTGGAAACTTCGACGAAGGCTGCCGCAGTGGCAATCGTGATGCACCACTGACGAACGACACGCGCGCTCTCGTGTTGTCTGCCTTAGGCAGCCGGCGCACAATACTGAAACGCCGCTTTCTTCATCTACCTTCAGCACGAGCTGCCACTACAATACAATGAACCTTGCACTTATTGGTAACTGGTCCATGTTCTCGAGTCCGTCTACCGAGAGTGCACTCTAGGACTGAGGTTTCATCTTTTTGTTCCCCCTTCTTCCTCCTTCTACACGGGTGAACAGGAAGCGTCGCACTGCCGGTGGTGGTGGGTTCCGTGTCGGGCTTCGTGTACAGCGTCCACCGCGAGGAGACCAAGAGCTGGTACAACGCCCTACGCAAGCCCTCCTTCAACCCGCCCAGCTGGCTCTTCCCTCCCGTCTGGACCGGCCTCTACGTACGTCGCCCCCCTTGCCCTGAGGCCTGCCCATGGTGACCATGTGGTGTACTTGCTTGGGGTCGCAGATGAGTATGGGCTACGCCGCGTACCTGGTCGGGAAGGAGGGCGGGTGGGAGCGTCAAGCGGTGCCTCTGGCGCTGTACGGGACGCAGCTGGCCCTCAATGTCGCCTGGTCGCCGCTCTTCTTCGGCGCCAAGAAGCTGGGCGCCGCCCTGGTCGACATCGGGCTGCTTGACGTTGCCGTGGCTGCCACAGCCTACAGCTTGTACGAACTCGAAGTGCTCTGCTGGCTACTTGCTTGCTCGCGCATGTCACGGACTAGAGACTAACATCAACGTAGCTATGGCGTGAACGAGACTGCGGGTCTGCTGATGGTGCCCTACCTGGCCTGGATCTCCTTCGCTACGCTCCTCAACTACCAGATCTGGGACATGAACACCATCAAGGCCAAGCCCGAGTAGTAGTCGTGTTCTCGCCTCTCTTGTTTCTTCTTTGTACCTAGACATACATCTATCTACGTCTCTCATCGGCCAGTTGCCTACGACGATGATGGTTCGTCGTCGCGGCCGTCGTCATGCTCGCTTCTCGAGGAGGCAGTGTTGAGCGCGCCCATGATCTTGGCGAGGTCCTCATCGGTGAAGCCGTCTTCCATGCTGCCCGACACGCTGACGCAGCTCACGTTGGGCAGGAAGGACGCCATCAGCCGCGGCTTGGCCACGTCCAGCCCTCGATTGGCCAGCTCGTCGTCCGGGTCGATCGCCAGCGCCTGCTCGTAGCACTCCACCGCCTTCAGGTAGTCCCCTGTTCACAGCACTATCATCAGTTATCACACACAACACACACGACGCACACGACACACACAACACACACATGACACACACACACACAACACATGACGCACCCTTGAGTTCGTACACGTAGCCGAGGTTGACCCAGCCGCCTGTGCTGTCGGGGAAGAGGTCGGCGCGCTTCTGCGCGTACCGTTCGGCGTCGTCGAGCTCGCGCATCTCAACCAGGCATCGGGTCAGGTTGGACAGCGCGCCTTCGTTGCGCTCGTAGGCCTCCACGGCTCGCTGGAGCAGTTCGACGGCGGCGTCGACGTTGCCATCGTGCAGCAGGTCGATGGCCTCTCCGTTGAGTCGGTCGGACTCGTCGAGGGCCGCCCGCTGCTCCTTGGTGAGTGAAAGCCGCAACTCCAGCGTCGCAAGGAAGCTCTCCAGCTGGCTGCTCTGGCTGCCCTCGGGCACCAGAGCCAGCGCCTCCTTGACCGCGTCCCTGGACTCCTCGAGCTGGTCGAGCTCAAACAGAGTTTTGCTCAACAGCCACCAGGCCTGTTCTTGGCATCACACATGATCAGGTACCAGTTCATTGTTGGTAGCGAAAAGAAAGAAAAAAGCGACGGGGGGGGGAATACGTCGAGATGAAATGAAGAGCAATCCGGGTCTGTGGCGAGAGCCGCGAAGATGGCCCTGGCCTCTTCGGTCTTGTGCGCCTGGGCCAGCTCGATGCCCTTCTCCAGCTGTGCCTCCTTGTCTGTCATTGTGGCCTGCAACACAACCCAAAAGGCCAAAGTGCAAAAGCACGGTAATTAAAATGATTTTCCAGTGCAGCCAAACTGAGAATAAACCAAGAACCGATAAAACTGATCTCATGCCCCACATTCCTTTAAAAAATAATTAATTTCGGTGTAAAACCGTTACGGTAGGCAAGGACAACGACAACTCGGAGAGCCAAAGGTGGTTCAGAGATTGGAGACAACAAGAGATCGCAGAGTGCGCATCATCAATCACAGAAGACTCAAACACCATCAACAGCAACATGTCCGATCAGGTATGGAAGCGCCGTAATGGCTTGAAAACATCAAATTTACTAAAATCGCATCATGTTTGCCGCAGCCACAACCCGATACCTCCAAGATGACGCCCGAGGAGAAGGCCCACTTTGACAAGTTCGGCATGCTACCCAAGAAGTCTCTCGCTACCCACATGCTCGGCAAGCGCGACGAGGTAATTTCCCATCCTGCAATCTCTCTACTTCCCCCCCCCCAATGCTTATCATTCTCGGGTTCCGTGAATAGGGAAGGCAACATTTCGATTCGGCAGAATGGGCCAAGGGTCTGCAGAACAAGAAGGGACCCCTCGGCAAGGTGCAGAACGACTAATCCATCTGGAGGTGATGGTGATTTGTAGAGTTTCGTTTTCAATCCAAAAACAAAAAACAAAAAACAAAACGCCAGTAGCGCAAGGTTCTGTATTCTTCTTCTTTCACAGGTCGAGGTCGGCGGCGGAGAGGAACTGGCCGCGTGTGGGCTTCTCCTGCTTGGCGATCTCGATCTGGTAGACGAGCGTCTCCTTGCCTCCCACAACGACAGCAGAGGGTGCAGTACCCGAGGCCGTGCGACCGGCAGACCCACCACTACTCACATGCGCGGGTCCGGATGAAGTCGATGGTGGCGTGGGTGGTGCCCACAACGACGCACACTGGGCCACAAGAAATCGTGCTTCCTGTGGGGGAGGGGAGTGCATTCAGCTATCGACATCACCCACACCTTCATCAGCCTCGCAAGGTGCGCTATCATGGGTACCTGCTTCCGGGTGACGAGCGCGCCTGTGGTCTGGAAGACGAAGGAGTAGCGAAGCGGAGCGGCACCTCGTCCTCCTCCATCTTGGCCCGCACCGACGCCAGAGACTCGCTCAGGTCTTCGCTCAGCTCCACAACAGCCAGGCTGATGCCGGCGTACGTGATCACCAAAACTGTTGTATAACGAGGAGGCGGTCAAAGCAAGCTAAGGCGCATGCGAGGCCTCTAGATCCAGGGGGAGGGGCGCAGGCGCGTTCGCGTACAATGTGAATGGAAGGCGGCCACCTCTGACGTTTGTGCGCGGGCGGCGGTTGTGGCGGCTGGTCGGCCTGACGGCGCTGGCGGGCGTTGTGGTGCTGATGCGCTGTTGGTACGGGTGACGGCGCTGGTGGTGGGCCCCATCACATCAGTGCCCAGCCCGGCGTGCTTTGGCTGAGGCGTCTCCGCTGTGGTGGACTTGCTGGCGTCTGTGCTCTGTGGACGAGTCGGACGTTAGCCTCTGGACCATGGTCGGTATGGAAGGAATGCTGAAGACTAGACTAGGAAGTCGTACGCCCGGTGCTATCTTCTCCATGATCTCGGCGAGGAACTTGGTGACCTCGCTCTGCGTGCCTAGGATGCCCCTAGAGACCATCATGGTCAGACTTCTTGATCTCTCTACAGGGTGGCAAGTGAGGCCAGGAGAGCGTACCGGGCCAGGTTGTAGGAGTTGAGCGAGCGAGCATCGACCAGGCGAAGGTCAGCACCGGCTTTGACCAGGAGCTGATGATGGTGCGTCCAATAAGAGAGAGAGAGAGAGAGAGAGAGTGGTCAGGTCAGCTGGTGGCTGATGCACAGCAGCGAATTAAGGACCGAGAGGTGGTTCAGTCCACCTTGACCAGTTGGAGGTGGTTGTGTCGGACGGCAATGTGCAGTGGAGGGTTTCCGTCGTTGTCCTTGAGGTCGAGGTCCGCGCCAGCCCGGAGCAGCGTCACTACGCAGTCGCCGTGGCCTGTACACAAATACAAAAGAATACATATTTCTTTATTTATTTGTGATTCAATGAATAGAGGAAAGGAGGGCGGTGCACCTTTCTGGAGAGCCCAGTGGAGGGCGGTGCGGCCGTCGCTGTCGGTAACGTTGACGTCCTCGCCCTGCGCCAGAAACCACTGTACCTCCCGCGTCAATCCATCTTTCGCTGCCTCCACAATAGAGTCTGCCATTGTTGCGGATATGTGTTTCACTTGTCGTCACCGGTGCAGGTCTCGACAGATGCCTTGTTCCGCTCTCTTCGTCGCGAAGGTGAAGATTATATTTCCTTGTTCTTTACCCTAATGCGAAATTTCGATTTTACGCAAATTTTAAAGAAGAATAAATAATAAATAAAGCAATTTATTCAGCGTGTAGCAGATGGACCACCCTTCCGACGGATCGCCCAAAAGCGTGAGGCCGCCGTCTTCCTCCTTTTCGTCTTCGGCTTCGGCTTCGTCCTCATCTCTGTCCGAGGTGGCCGATGCCGTTCCAGATAATCGCAAGGATAGCGCCAAGGATAGTGGCAACGATGATGGACGTAGCACCAGCGGCAAGGGGGAGAAGAAGAGCAGGGCCTCGTTGAGGGGCGAGAGGGAGGAGAGGAAGACCGCCGCCCTCGATTTCGCAAGCCTGCGCGAGCGGCTGCAGGAAATCAAACACATGCAGGAGAAGAGCGGCTCGCATTGGAGTGAAAAGAGGGCGCAGGAGGGACTCAACTTCCTCCTCGACCAGGAGGACCTCCTGAGGAAGAAGCTCGACTCTACCGCCTCCTCGCCCGAGAAGAAGTTCCCCATTCCCGCCCCTTCATCTTCGAAGAAACGGAGCGAATGGCGATCGAGCAGCACCTCTCTACAGCAGCTGCTGAACGAGGTGTCTGGCGAGATCAAGGAGCTCAGGGACTATCTCGTCAACAAGCGTGGCGGCAGCAGCGGATCGAGCCGCCCGCCCGCTGGACACAAGAAGTCCACAGGCTCCACCGCCAGCCTCAAAAGGCGAAGGGGCGAGGGCGCAAGCGACGTGCCCAACGCGAAGGAATCGAAGCAAAAGGATGCCAACGACGTCTCCACGACCGAGGAGAGCTTCACCAACGCCGAGTACTCGGTCATGAGCGAACTCGACACCGAGTCCTTTGAAGATTTCAGCGATGACGAAGGTGCGCTACGCTATGTTCTCATTCTCCTGTTTCCTTCGCGTGGCCCTGGTCAAGGGCCTTTGCTGACACACGTGTTGACGGTGTGAATAGAACACGAGCAAGCGAACAGTCTCGATTGGAACGTGATGTTCCAGTCCGTGCTGCAGGAGTCGCCATCGCCCAACCGAGACGCGCAGTGGTTCGGGCTCACCCAGGACTTCCTGCACAATGCCATCACGTACGGCAAGATCATCATCTCGGAGACCTTCATCCCCACGCGCAGCAAGACCATCCCGCCCATCCCGTCCAACAACAGCGGCGAGGAGTGCTACGAGGTCTACATCCACAAGGGCATCCTCTACAAGCTCTACCTCGACACCCAGAAGAACTTTGGCAGCACGCACCACGCCATGAAGGTGGCCTCCAACGAGATGAAGGGCTGGCGCAGCCTCTACAAGTGCAACATCACCGGTCTCTACTTCCCCTTCAGCATCCAGATCGACTTCCAGGGCTTCCGTCTGCTCGCCCAAAGTGGTACGGCTACTGCTTGTCGCTGTGCTTACCTTGCTATTGGCCCAACGGCTGACAGCATTCGTCGTCGTCGTCGTCGTTGTTGTTCAGTTCTGCCGATTGATGACACGAGGACCATTGCCTACGGGTCGAGCGGCGACTGCACGATCCACAACGACAGCGAGGAGCTCGACTGTAAGATGACCGAAGCGGGCATCAGCCTCAACCTCAAGAAGCACCTCGTGGGCGATAAGGAGATGGCGCTGGCAGCCGATATCGAAGGCCACTGCGGCACGGTACGTCGACGTTTGTTCTGTGGTCCTGCAGAGCGTTTCGCACAGCCCCACCAAACACTGACTTCACATGAACTTGTCTCTCTATATAGGATGGCCTCTACTATGTGACCGGCTTCGGTCTGTCCCGTATAATGCCACCCGAAACTCCAGAGAGAGGGTATGCACATGCTCACGTTTGAACGTTGAGCCCATTGAAGCGTGCACGCCTTTTGACGTGCTACTTTTTGTTCATGGCGCTCCAGTATCCAGCACACGGGACTATGCCACCGTCTGCGGGCCGAGTTTGTAGCCAGTACGTGCAGTACTCGCCATTGCCAACCATGAAGCCGCGGTTGACTGACTTGCCTCACTCAACGTGATGGTACTGTAGAGAACCCATGCCCCCTGTCGAGCGACGCCTTCTCGCGGTTCGGCGTGACCGCGCAGGAGAACAATCACGAGGTGATGGAAGCCACCAAGATGCTCCACAACGTGGTCATCCCCCAGTTCGCCCAGTGGCTCGACCAGCAGGACGAAAAGTACATCAAATCGGTAAGGCGCCTCCTTTCCGCAGCTACACCTCGTTTGACCAACACCCAACCACGGTTAATTAACGACGAAATGGGATTGCTGTGCCTGGCGGTCATCAGACGTTTGCTGAGAACACCGCGGACGTGTTGCATGAGCACGGTATCAACATCCGGAAGCTGGGCTACGTGCGAAGCCACGTGTGCTCGGCCGCTGTCCGTAACGTACTACTTCACGAGATCCTCGCTCGCGCCATCAAGAACCAGCTTCGCCTGCGGCTCAGGCAGAAGACCAAGGAGGTAGGACAGTCTCCCTCTTCTCTAACTCTACCGTTCGAACCGCATCTCTGACCCCCCGGTTCTCTTCTCTTCCCAGGTGCCACCCATGCTGCTCACCCCTGTACAATACGCGGTGGTCGACTTCTTGAACAACGTCTTTGGCGACACCAAGGAGGCGAAGAAGTATTGGAAAGAGGTACGCTACCGATCTGATCGTGTTCAGCTTTGCTCGTCTTGCGCAGCTTCTCTCGCTTGAGTGGTTATGGCTCTTATCGATTGCGGGATGGACGCAGGAGCTCGTGGTCGTGGTGATGAGGGAGTTCCCGCAGTGCCTGCTCGAATCGGAGATGGAAGTCGATCTTCGCGAATTCACCGTGAGCGACGAGGATGAGACCGAAGGCTCGGACTTTACCCAGGGCGAGGAGGAGAGACGGACGACGAAGAAGAGAAAGATCAGGGCAAGCGCGCCAAGAAGGGGAAGATGAAGGAGAAGCTCACCAAGGAGAAGGACCAGGAGAAGGTCAAGGCCAGCAAGAAGAAGGAGCTCAAGAAGAAGGACAAGGAAAGAGAGAAGGAGAAGGAGAAGGAGAAGGAGAAGGAGAAAGAGAAGGAAAAGGAGAAGGAGAAAGAGAAGGAGAAAGACAAGAAGCAGAGGGAGGTGAAGATCACCAAGGAGCAGTCGAGGGAGCAGATCAAGGAGGCGAAGCCAGCCAAGACCAGCAAGTGGAAGGACTCCAAGTCCAAGATCCGCTCCAAGGAAAAGGAGAAGAAGAAGGAGGAGAAGGCCAACTCGCGCAAGAGCGGGTCCGGCCCGCTGCTCGGTAGCAGCAGCGGCGCCACCGACAACAGCAACAGGCCCAACATCGAGGACGTCCCCTTCACGCCCGTCGACACCAACGCGCTCTTCCAAAAGTACCGCTTCGCCACCTCCCTTCCCTGGCCTGTGTGCGACCCTTGCTGATCGTTGGTCGTTGGTTGGCTCGGTCCTTGCGCGCACGCAGAGTGCTGGGCATGTGCGGCATTGTTCTCTCCGTCAAGGCGCAGCAGCAGCACTTTGACAACACCAAGGTAAAGGCATACACTTGCTTGAGCTGTCGTCATCCTTTTGTCATCGGCCCCATGTCTAACTCGCGACATCCTCTGCGCACGCACGCGCACGCGCACGCGCATGCACCTGCACACGCACATGCACAGCCACTTTGGTTGTATTACCAGGACATTGTGGGCATGCAGACGCGCATCAAGTTCATGACCGACGCCAGCGGATCGATGGATCGCACCTTTATGTGAGCAGCCCACCACCTTCCCAGATCTCTTAATAGGCCTCGCCCGCAGCACCAGCATGGCTCTTCCACTTCCACATCTTCCCCTTGTACAACCACTTTCTCTCTCGCTACACGCTTCGCTCAACAAGGACCGGGCCGGCTTGAGATTCCACCCCGAGACGGAGACGACTGTTGACGTCGGCAAGAGGCGGAGTTGATGATGTCCTTGTCCGACGACGGATGTTGAGGTCGGACGTGAAACGTTGCGGCCCCAAGGTCCCATCAAACCCCCATCACTGCGGCGACAACCACTACCGCACCACCAGGACGGATGTGTACCCTCTTTTGGTTCCTCTCACAACGGTAGCATACAGCCAGCGACAGAGCCCAAGAGCACATCATCATCAGCAGCATCGTAATGGAGCCATCAGCTACACGACTGCTGGCCTCCCCGAACTCCGACTTGGAGGAAGAGACAACCACCCGCCCCCCGACGTTGTACCCAACAAGAGGAGAAGAAGGTGGCCTGGAAGTGGAGGCGGGGAGGGAGAAGATGGAGAAGAGGCCCGTCGTGGAAGAAGATTACAAAGATGAGGAAGATGTTGGCGGGAAGGGCAAGGAAAAGGTGAGCAGCTCCATAACGAGGCGGAACTCGCGAGAGGAGAGCGCGTACCAGCCATCGCCCAAGCTGTCGTCGTCGCGGAGGTCCGTCGGCTGTCCCATCTGTTTCGAGCCCATTCGCGACCCCCGGCTCCTGCGAGTATGTGGCCACACCTTCTGCTACGGTAACCCCCCCCTCTCTTAATCTCCCTCTCTTTCATCATTCATCCTTACTTCGCGACTCTGACTCCGTACGTCACCCAAGACTGCCTGAAGAGGGCGCATTTCAAGGACAAGCAAGAAGGTACGCTCGGAGCAAGAGAGCTTTTGCATCAAGAAGTAGAAAATAAATATTCAATCATCTAAACATTATTTCTTCACCATGTGCGGTGCAGGGTGGGTTCTGGATGAGGCCATCGCCATCCCGTGCCCCATGTGTCGCACGGTGACCCACGTCTCCTCCGCCTCCGACCTGCCCCGGAATTGGTCCCTCATCTACGGTACGACCTTTACTCACGCTCGGTCCACCACATTTTCCCTGTTCACTGCTCACCAGCGATCGGCGGCGGCACCGGTGTACCCGACAGACTCGTCGGACGAAGAGGAGGACTACGACGTCGGCGATGATGACTTTGTGCATGTCGCGCGGGAGCAGGATTTCCACAAGCTGCGGCCGGAGGAGACGGAGAGCTTCTGCCACTGGGTCGACAAGACCCAGCTCGACACCGGCCTGCCCCAACGCATGCTCCAGGAGTACGAAAGGCGAAAAGCCAATCAGCCGGGCAAGGAGCCCAACAAGGTGCACCACTGTCTAGGCCTTCCAGGCGTGTGTGCGTGCGGCGGATTGCTGATGTGGTCGCGCGCGACGCCGGTCTCAGGTCACATTTTTGCTGTTGGGACTGACGGGCCACGGCAAGAGCAGCCTCATCAACCTACTCTTCGGGCGGCTGGTCACGGCGCAGGGCCATTCGCAGGTGCGCGCCAACTTGCGACTGACTGCGGTCAGAGTTTTAGCTCCGCCAGGGCGCACGGTTAGGTGTTTAGCTCCGATGTCATCAACCAACCGCGTGGTGGCGTCGTGCAGAACTCTACGACACAGGACGTCGCGCTCTACGAACATCCGCTCGTGGATGGGCTCTACTTCATCGACACGCCGGGCTTCTTTGATTCCAGGGGCGAGGCGCAGGACCAGGAGAACGAGGCCAAGATCAAGCGGTTCCTGAAGGGCCACCCGCCCGACTGTATCATATTGGTGCGTGCGTAGAGCCTTGAGGGGGATATGTGCGACCCGACCCGCTTCTCACCAGCGCGCGCTCTCGTTCCGTTCGGCAGGTGTGCAAGTTTTCGGACACCCAGAGCAGCGCCATGCAAAAGGGAATCAAGTTCGCCAAGGAGGTGCTGGAGGCCTACGGCTGCCAGGTACGCACCACCGGTGGTCCATCGATTCAGCCCCGATCCAGCGGACGATGGCTCACTTTGCGGGGTGGACCTTTGTAACCCTCTCCTGGCTCACAGGTCGTGGTCGTGCTCACCTACTCCAACACCAAGAGCCTGGGCCACCTGGCCTCCTGCGAGGAAGAATTTCAAACGCTGAAGAGCCTGGTACCTTTTAATTATTTATTTCATTTGTCTTTTTGGCGTTTTTTGTTTTTATTTTATTTTATATTTATTTTTATTGTTATTTTAGTCGATTTATGTGGCTGACGCCAACTCATTGGTGAGTGCAGCGACGAAAGAAGGAGGCGGTGCTGTGCAGATGGAATGCGTGGCGTCAGGCCAAGGAGCACTACCTGCGCTCGGAGCTGGGCGACGCCATCCGCGTGTGCGCCGTCGACAACGACGAGCTCTCCAAGACCAACCACATCGGGGAGCGGATACTGCTCAATGGCGAACCGTGGGTGCCGCAGTTGGTCGAGCACATCCTGGAAGCCAAGGTAAGCCCACCACCTCTCCAGCGCGCGATTGATCGTTCATCGGTGCTGACGTCGTCGTTGTCGTTGTCGTGTTCGCTGTCTTCGCTGTCGTGGTGGTTCTCTGGAAGGACTTAGCTGCGAGCCGGATCGCGCAAGGGCTCGAGCAGGGAACAGCCGACGTTGAAGTCCAGTCGGCCACCAAGAAGTGCATCCTGGATCGCATGAAGCAGGTCCTCACCGTCGCCTCGGTCTCTGGTTCGTCGTCACACGCACCACCGCACACGCACACGCAGCAGCTGATTTGTGTTGAACAGGTGCTACTGGCGGGGCTCTGGTGATCTACGAGGCGACGGCGCTGGTGGCAGCCGAGGGCGGGAGTCTGAGCGTGGGGGCCATGCTCGGGGCCGGGGCCGCCGGCGCGGCGCTCACCGCCGTGCCGGTCTTGGTCGTGGGCGGCCTCGGCGTCCTACTCTCCTCGGCCATGTGGAACCTGTGGACGCAGTGGAAGCAGCAGGGCGGCCACCTCTTGTGAGGGAGCATCACGGTTTGGCGTGGCCTGTACATAATCACTTCTTTACGATCATCTCTGCTCTACAAGATGCGAAAAGGCAGCGAGAAAGAAAATGAAAATTACAAAATAAAACAAAACAATTAATTGATTTCGATAATCAAAAAGGTTGGCAGATGGAGAGCCGCGCTGCTCCTGCACATGTGGTCGACATGGCCAACGGGTCTGCGGGCCTGGGCAAGAGGAAGGCGGAAGTGACGCTTGAGGAGGAGGGTGATATACTCGAGATAATGCCTATTGGGGCTGGCAGCGAGGTCGGCCGCTCTTGCATTCTCCTCAAATTCAAGGGCAAACACATCATGGTAAGGCCGCCACTTGCGCAGGGGGTCAGAGGGCAAATCGAGATGTTAATGCCTCCAATGAACTCTAATCTCATCTTCATCAATCAATCAATCCAGCTCGATTGCGGCATCCATCCTGCCTACACGGGCTTGGCAGCGCTGCCCTACTTCGACATGATCGATGACCCTGCCACCATCGACCTGCTTCTCGTCTCCCAGTACGTCTGTCCGCTTGCCTCACATGGCGTGGCGTGCTGGGCCTAACCCGCTTCCACTACCACTTGCGTTGCAGCTTCCACCTTGACCACTGCGCGTCGCTGCCCTACTTCATGGAGAAGGTACATAACATTCACCCACCCACTCGAGTGTGTAACTGTTCTGACCATGTTTCCTTCAACGTAGTCCACGTTCAAGGGACGTGTGTACATGACCCACCCCACGAAGGCCATCTACAAGATGCTGCTCACCGATTTCGTCAAAGTGAGGCACGTCATCACGCTCAGATCTTGAGCCCACTGAGTGGCTACCAGCCGCCAGTCATGCGCCTAACCATCGTCGTCGTCGTCGCTGTGATGTTGGTGGTTGAATGGATGGGTGGATTTGGCTGAACAGTAACATCGCCGTCGAAGAGATGCTGTACGACGAGCAGGACTTGATCAACACCATGGACAAGATTGAACCCATCAACTACCACCAACAGATCGAGGCCAACGGCATCAAGTTCTGGTGCTACAACGCCGGTACCTCCCACCACGGCGCACCCACCCCGCGTATTGTCAATATTTCTGAAGCTTCTGGTGTCATCACCAGGTCACGTTCTGGGCGCGGCCATGTTCATGATCGAGATCGCCGGAGTGCGAATTCTGTACACCGGCGATTTCTCTCGGCAGGAGGACAGGCACTTGATGGCCGCAGGTGCGTGCCACACGACACGACACTCCACCTGGTCTTCGTCGTTGTTGGTTGTTAGTTGTTGACTTACTTGTGAATGACTGGCCTCATTAGAAACGCCGGCCTACACGGCCGATATTGTGATCGTCGAGTCGACCTACGGAGTGCAGATCCACGAACCGCGCATCGAACGCGAGACCCGCTTCACGAGTACGGCCGTCCGTACACGCACATTCACCATCACACGCCACGACTGCTAGCTAACCCGTGGTCTTTGTCTTCCCACTCCTCGCATGCCTCCCACAGAGCTCGTACACACCATCGTCAGGAGGGGCGGCCGGTGCCTGCTTCCCGTGTTTGCGCTTGGCCGAGCGCAGGAGCTGCTGCTCATTCTGGGTCCATTTGCCTTCTCTCCATCTCGCTCGGTCGCCCACAGCGCACTCACAGCGTGTTCGCGTGCGCAGATGAGTACTGGGAAGCGCACCCGGAGCTGCACAAGGTGCCCATCTACTACGCCTCGTCGCTGGCGAAGAAGTGCATGACCGTCTACCAGACCTACATCAACATGATGAACGAAAACATCAGGTGCCAACTCCTAAACATTCATTCTTTATTACACACTTTCTTTTCATCGCATCGGTCTTGATTTGATGCTGAAGTACCACCGGCCTTGGTGGTTGGTCACGCGCGCAGGAAGCAATTTGCGGTCTCCAATCCGTTCGTGTTCAAGCACATCTCCAACCTGAAGGGCATGCAGCACTTTGACGATTCCGGCCCGTGCGTGGTGATGGCCTCGCCCGGTATGCTCCAGGTATGCCCCTCTCTCCCCCTCTTTGAATCACCACTTGTTGTTGTCGTGGTCGTTGGTGATGATGATGATGATTATTATTATTACTGTTATATATCAATGACTGATGAGCCCATGCGATTGTCACCTTTGTCCAGAGCGGTCTGTCGCGTGAGCTGTTCGAAAAGTGGTGCTCCAACGCCAAGAACGGAGTCATCATTCCTGGTTATTGCGTGGAGGGCACGCTGGCCAAGGTTCGCTTTCGACGCAGGCAACACACGCGACACACACACACACACACACACACCGGGATGCGATGCTAATGATATCGTGACCGCGTGTTGGGGGGGGGCAGCACATCATGTCTGAACCGTCGGAGGTCACCGCCATGGACGGCCGCATGCTGCCGCTCAAGGCGTCGGTGCACTACATCTCCTTCTCGGCCCACTCCGACTTCCTGCAGACCGCGGGCTTCCTCGACATCATCCAGCCGCCCTACGTCGTGCTCGTCCACGGCGACGCCAACGAGATGTCGCGTCTCAAGGCCTCCCTCGTCAATCGGTGCGCTATTTAAGTTATTTTCATTTATTTATTTATTTATTTATTATATGTTTTATTATCTTTTATTTATATAGTTTTATAAATTAATCCAATGGTCGTGGTACAGGTACGAGGGGAGGAACATTCAGATCTTGACCCCCAAGAACTGCCAAACGGTGCAGCTCAAGTTCAGGGGCGAGAAGACGGCCAAGGTGCTGGGCACGCTGGCGGGCGAGGGAGCCGCGCCGGGCAAGGTGGTCTCGGGCATCGTCGTGCGAAAGGTGCGTAGCTACTATACTACTTCACACGTGCTACTGTAACATAGCGAGCCCTGGTGTGATCTGACGCGAACACATACGGACCAATTTGCCTCGCAGGATTTCAACTATCACATCATGGCGCCCTCCGACGCTCACACCTACGCTCAGCTCGTCACAACACAAATCGTCCAGAAGCAGGTGTGCCACACACACACACACACACACTGCAGTATGGCGATTGTGGGTGAGCGGGCGCTAACAAATTGCTTTTCTTCTTTCTTTCTTTTGACGCACAGGTGCTACCCTTCCACCAGCCGTTCGACCTTCTCCAGGAGTGCCTCGCCCAGATGTTCGACTCCCTCGCGCTGTCGAGCAAGGAAAACAAGGCCGTCATTAGGGTGCGGCTCTGGTGTTGATTTGGATTCGTCCGGCGGCAAACTGACGCGTCGCGTGTCGTCGTGTCGTGTGCAGGTTCACGACGCGGTGTCTGTCGAGCACACGTCGACCTCGTCGGTCACGCTCGAGTGGAACGCCAACCCGGTGAACGACATGTTGGCCGACTCCGTTCTGGCCGTACTTCTGCAACTCGAGTCCAACCCGCGTAACTTCAAAGGTGCACACAATTTTGCCCTCGACGTTACGAGCCACACACACACACACGCACACGCACGCACACAGCACATGTCCCAGACAACTGACGTACCACACCCGACAGCGCCACCGAGCGATATCCACGCGAGGCAGCGGACTATCAAGCGGATCGTCGAGGGCAACTTTGGCAAGGAGAACGTGAGCGTGGAGGGCCACGAAGTGCACATCTCCGTCGACGAGCGGAAGGCCGTCGTGCATCTCCACCAGGTACTCGTCGCAATGTAGCCAGAGTCGTGTGTGTGTGTGTCGTGTGTCGTGTGTGTGTCTGTGTGTGTTCGCAACACTCACGCTTGTGTGTATCTGTAGGAGAAGGTGGGCGACGGGTGGACGGTGAAGAGCGAGAACGCGGCGTTGAAGGAGCGCGTGGAGCGGGTGCTGCGACACGTCGAATCGGCCCTGCGCCCCATCCCCGCCCCTGCTTCGCACTGCTCCGCTTCCGCCTCTTCTTCGTCGTCTTCCTCCTCGGGTGCTGATGATGCTCCCGCCGACGATACAGTCAAGTCCGAGGAGTAGGAGCGACTACTTGCGTGTATGGATTGTGATCTAGCAGTCGTAGTAGTAAAGCTTTATTGTTGGGCGCAACGTTGATTCCTAGCCAGCTCCATGCCCCCAAAGCCTCTGAAGAGCCGAGCTACGTACACCTTCATCAGATCTTCGTCTTCGCTCATCTATTTGCCCTTGCCCACCATGCGCTTGAGGAGAGAAGGCTTCCTTGAGCCCAGGTTCGGGCTACTACTGCGCAGCACAGGTTGTCACATCACAAGGGTAAGCGGTGGTTGATGATGAAGTGGAAGCGAATTGGCACGCACCCGCTCTTGGCTTCCTCTTGCGCCTGCTCCAGCTGGAGCTGTTCCTTCTTCCTCGAGATCCACTTCATGATCGAGTCGAGCAACTTGGAACCGTTCTGGCAGGCGAACCAGGCGGCAACGATGGTCTCGTCGGTCGACCGGAGGGGAAGATAGTCGAGCTTGAACATGTCGCCCGAGTCTGATGTGCGTCGGACCAGGAGGTGTGAGTAACACGTCAACAACATGTTCCACACTCGCGAGTTGCGCGTACAGTTGATGCCCCAGCTCTTGATCCTCCTCCAGAGAGCAGAGAAGATGATCTCCTCGGTGAAGGGCTCGACCACGCTGACGCCCTCAATGGAGACCACGATGATGGTGAGCCTGCCCGGGGGACCGTCCTCCATGTACTTGCCCATGAAGCAGTCCTTGTCACCTTCGTTTTGTTTTTTTTCCAAGTAGTAGACTGGTGAGACACAACAACGAGACGGTCATGTTCAACGGCAGAGGGGAGAGAGTACCCTGGGTGGTATCGGTGTTGCCGAAGGGGAGCTTGGCGGGCTCGTCCTTGCGGGCCTTGGTCTGGTTGAGCTCTCGGGCCAGGTTCTCCTTCTCGATGCGCATCTTCTCGAGCTCCTCCTTGAGCTTGCGGGCCTCCTCCTCGGCGGCGATCCTCTTGCGCTCGGCCTCCTGCGCGGCCTCCTTCTTGGCCTCCTCAATCCTGGCCTGCATCTCCTCCGATGCCTTCTCGTATTCCTGAAGATTATCTTCATCCAGCTCCGTCTCCTCCAGCTCGAGATCGGCCTCGGGAATGGGGGCGGCAGCAGCCACCGCGGCGCTCGAGCTGGCGGCGGCCGAGCGGGGGGTGGCCGCCACGGGCTCCACGGGGGCGTCGCCCACGCAGGGCTTGAATCCGCGCTTCTTGGCCACCTCGGCCAGCTCGAGAATGTGGGACAGAACCTTGAAGATGCGGCCCTCGAACAAATCGGCCGCATCGAACAGATTGCGTACGCCGATGGTGGCCACGGCGCGCAGGTAGGCGCCCAAGTTCTCCAGGCGGATGAAGTCGGCCTTGCCCGAGGTGGTCACCTTGACCCCGGTCTCGGGCGCGATCTTGGCCAGGAGCTCGCACAGCAGCGAGCCGTCCTTGAGCGCCTCGAGCAGGGCCGCGTCGCTGTTGCGGATGTTGCGCGCCGGGAAGAGCTGGTTCAACCAGGTGACGACGGCGTCGGTCTGGATGCTGAGCTGCTGCTGACGGAAGGCGCCGCGCGCCAAGGTCATGTTCTGCTTCTGGACGAAGGGGTTCTCCATCGTGAACCACTCCATCTGCTTACCACCTCCTCCTGAAGAGTTCATGTTCGACAACTACTACAAGCTAGGGAACTAGTTCGAAAGAGAGGCGTGGGTATGTGTTGATCTGTTGACGTTGATGTGTCTTTGCTGTGGGCGAGACACTTGAACCTTCAAGCTGCTTCCAACTTTCCTTTTTCAAGGGACACACGAGATTAACTTTATTAGGAAGGAGCCGTTGGGCTACCACACCACTCGACTCAATCACTTATCGAACAAGCCACTATCACCACCACCAACACCACAACTAACACACATAAGGGGAGTCTCAACAAGAAGACTGAAGGTGAAGAGACTATCCTCCTGAGCACCGTGAAGAGTGGTGATTCTCTTTTTGGTTCAACTTTAGGGGAAGCTGCATTTCGGTCGACGCCTCTGTCCCAGTCGACTTGAACAGTTGTTGCCGCGCGAGCTGTTCGCAAACTTGAACCGAATCGCTCAAGGTGAGTAGTGGGTCATGAAGAGCCTCATGAACAAGGCCGCGTCACCATTCCTGATCGCCACGAAGGACGACCCGACATCGTCGGAAATCGATGAAAAGGACATCAAGAAGATCAAGAAGCTAGGTGAGGGCTGCTTCGGTGTGGTGTACAAGGGTGAGTGCTACTCCCTGCCCGTCGCCATCAAGTTCCCCCATGTGCAGCAACTCAGCAAGGAGGAGCTCGAAGACTTCCGAAAGGAAGTACACATAATGGCGTACGCTCCCCCCCCCGGCTTTTCATCTGCCAAGATACCCGGTGATCGTCTTGAATCATTTGAAGTACTAAAAACGTAGCGCGTTCCTCAATGTTCCTCATTCTCATACGAGCTTCACGTTTCGCCATCATAACAGGACCAACCCTCACCCGCACATCGTCCAATTCATGGGCGCCTGTACCATCCCGGGCAAGTTCGCCATCGTCATGGAGCTGCTCGACGGCAACCTCGAGGAGCTGCTGTTCTCCGAGGAGGGCTCCAAGATGCGCCTCTTCCAGCGCCTGGTGATGGCCAAGGAGGCCGCCCTCGGCATGAACCGCCTTCACAAGACCGAGCCCGCCATCATCCACAGAGATTTCAAGCTCGAGAACCTCATGGTACCCACACCACACCACACCACATCCTTTTCCTCTACTTATTTAAATTTGAATATATCTCTATTTATCCATTTTAAGGCAAAATATTTATTATTATACATTTTTATTAACAATTTGTGGGCAACAGTACAAGCGGACCGATCAGACCTACATCACGAAGGTGGCCGACTTTGGTCTGGCGGCGATCAAGCCCAAGGCCAAGAAGACCATCCGCGCCGATCCCCGCGGCACTCCTCTCACCCGCGCTCCCGAGGTACCCCCTCACCACCCGCCCATCGCACACGCACGACCGCACACGCAACACGGCACACGACACACGTGACACACGACACACAACGACACACACAACGCCGGATGTGTGACTCACGCTCGCCCTGGTTTGCATCAAAAGATCATGTTGGGCAAGCCGTTCAACCAGAAGGCCGACGTCTACTCGTTCGGCATGACCCTCTGGGAGATCGTCACCTGCAAGGAGCTCTTCCCTCACCACAGGTCCGCGCCCTCTTCGTGTGTGTCGTGTGTGTCGTGTCGTGCGGTTTGTATTGACGTGTGCGTGTGCGTGTGCGGTTGTGTCTGCACAGTGACTACGATGAGTTCATGGAGGCCATCTGCGTGAAGGGCGAGCGGCCGCCCATCCCCGGCAACTGCCTGCCCTCGCTCAAGGCCCTCCTCGAGGACCTCTGGGACGCCGACCCCGACCGGCGGCCCAACTTTGACGAGGTCAACGCGCGCCTGGACGAGATCTTGGTCGAGGCCGCCATCAGCGACGCCAAGGGCCGCGAGTTCTGGAAGAAGTACTTTTTGCGACAGCACCACGTCAAGTGGGAGGAGTTCGTGGAGCGGTTCTACGCCTTCATCGACCAGGACCTGCCGGAGGACGCCGGCGGTCCCACCGCCGACACCCAGATCCTCAACCTCCGCT